CATTAAATAATGCCATAATTTTTTCTCTTTTTTCATTAATAAACTTAGTGATCATTGTATCTTTATCTGTTAGATCGATCGATTTGAGTATATCTGCATCATGAACTGGAATATTTTCGAACAATGAACTCGATTCTATGGAACCATATGGAGAAATCTCGTTCTGAGCCAAAGAAAGATCACTTACGTTGTATTGTTTGATAGAAAAAATTGTTTTCTCAAGTTCTTTTTGAAAGCAGTCAAGAATATAATTTTTGTAGCTATCAGTGATAACGGTTTTTATATGGCGCTCGATCTTCTGGTTATTTTTGATGGCGTTATATTTATCTAATTGGATTTGAGATATCTTCTTAATAGCTTCATAAATGTTTGGATGTTTTAACGAAGAAAATTCTGAATGCATACTCTCGAGGCAATCATTAGTGAATATTGCAGTTGCATTATTATATTGAGATATTAAATTGTAGTGCGGCAACCAAACTTTGTTGAAATAATCAATATAATCTTTGATCGAATCAACTTTATTTTGATTAATTATATGCATTGTAAGTACAAATTCTTCATGAGACATGAATGGAGTAATAGAATATAGCTTAAATAAAGAATTTTGTAAAGTATTGAAATTTTTTGTATAAAGTGCTACAAGTTTCCTGTGTAAAGCTTGTTTGAAATGAAATAGGCATCCAATTATACGGACTTTAGGGAAAATTTGTTGAAGTGCCTCTATCATTCCCTTTTCAAAATCACAATGAATTTGAATTAGCTTTGAAAATTGAATACCCTTGACAGTAAAAATATATTCAAATGCCTTCTTATAAGATTCAAATGTGCGGTTTTTCATGAATATAAATAAAAGTGGTAGATATTGATTTGTTGAAGGTTCACAAATCATAATTGTTAGCATCTGTCCTTTTTGAAAATGTTTTGGTGTAATTTTAAAAGTTCCATCGCAAAATAAATCTGTGGCTTCTTTTGCAAATTGAATTGCCTTCTCAAAACCAAAAAACATCGTCTCACAATTTGCTTGAAAATCATGGCCAATGAAAAACTGCTCGCCATTTATTAAACAAAAATTAGCAATTTCATCGTCTGTAATTTTTTCTCCAACAGAAAATTTTCTGGACTTATTATAAACTTCCCTGACCAATGAATCTTTAATTAATGGGTTTTCATCAGTACCAACAGCAAGTTCTGTCATAAATTTTTTAATCTGCTGAAAAGTGCCGTTGTCTTCAGAAAATTTTGCCATTGCCTTATTGTATATTTCTGTCAGAGTCATTGATTTATGAAGATCATTTTTTTCATTTTGTAACTTTTTAAATTGTCTGCATTCGGGTATATGTTCCTTTTGTAAATCTTCGGAAACTGAACTGTTCTCAATTTTAACTAAATAACGTGCTTGACAAGAATGATCGATGCAACGGTAGTAACGTTCAATATTATTTGAATTAATAATATTTGTATGATCATGCGAATAAAGCATATCTTTGCGAACAATTGTATCAGGATATTTTCCAGTAACTGCGGGAATATTTTTAACTGCAATATAACTAAAATATCTTCTGACAGCTTTAGATTCATTTTCGGCGTATTTAATATTAAAATATTGAAGAACTTGTTTGATTATATTCGTTTTTTCATCTCTCGATGTTGATTTTTGGTATTTATCAGATTGTTCCCTGATAAATATTTTATTTTCGTCTGTAAAGTTTGCTCTTTTTTGATTAAATATAGATGATTTTCCCATTAAAAAATGAAATGATGCAAAATTTACGAAAACCGTTCGAAAATTGAATCAAAAATGAAAAGTAATACTTAAATGAGGAATTCTTTGAGATATTGGTCTTAGATTGAATGTAGCGTCATTCTTATATAGAATATATATTCATATCATCGGAAATATGATAAAAAGCATATAATAAATGTCAAAAAAGTGAACAAATAAGCAAAGATATTTTTTAAAAAACAATGAAAAGTAATACTTAAATGAGGAATTCTTTGAGATATTGGTCTTAGATTGAATGTAGCGTCATTCTTATATAGAATATATATTCATATCATCGGAAATATGATAAAAAGCATATAATAAATGTCAAAAAAGTGAACAAATAAGCAAAGATATTTTTTAAAAAACAATGAAAAGTAATACTTAAATGAGGAATTCTTTGAGATATTGGTCTTAGATTGAATGTAGCGTCATTCTTATATAGAATATATATTCATATCATCGGAAATATGATAAAAAGCATATAATAAATGTCAAAAAAGTGAACAAATAAGCAAAGATATTTTTTAAAAAACAATGAAAAGTAATACTTAAATGAGGAATTCTTTGAGATATTGGTCTTAGATTGAATGTAGCGTCACAAATTTCACAAATATAATTTACTATACAATTTTATTCATTTTTTTAAAATGGCTGACGACAGTCTGTATCAACTAACTCAACTAGTCAAGCATAATGATTATTCTTCGGATTCATTAAATCAACTTTATCAATGCATAAGTACAATGACAGAAAGATCAATTGGATGCTTGAATGAGTGGGGGACAAACTCGCCCATTGTCACTTTTTCATTAACCTTAAACTTGTAATTTTCATTATTTTTAATTAACCTTATTTCTTTCCCAATTCCTGATTTATTTTATTCACTTACTATTAAAAGTCACATTTTAATAAAATATAATAATTTATTTATAGCATTTTTTACTATACTGTAATAAAAAATTAATTATAATAAATTAAATGTTTATTAAATCAAATTAATTATAATAAATTAAATGTTTATTAAATCAAAAAAATATATAAAATTTGATCATAAATAAAATCGTTTTAAATTACTTCTTCATTTAAATTATGAGAAAGGGACAAACTATCCAGTGTCACTTTTCAAAGGAATAAAAAAATAATAAAGATGAAATAATAACATGAAATCTTATATAAATATAATTTTATCTAAATAGATAAATGAATTAAGCAGTTTACAGTTATATATATTTAATGAGAGACAATATCTAGTTCTATGGTAGAAATGACTCTTAGACTCAAATAAGTAACACAGATAGAAAGTACTCAGTATAACAATTATATATGTACACTCAAAGTTAGTCGCTGCTAAAATCTTAACCTTGCATTTCGGGAAAATCTGACAAATGGCTCTTAGACTCAAATAAGTAACACAGATAGAAAGTACTCAGTATAACAATTATATATGTACACTCAAAGTTAGTCGCTGCTAAAATCTTAACCTTGCATTTCGGGAAAATCTGACAAATGGCTCTTAGACTCAAATAAGTAACACAGATAGAAAGTACTCAGTATAACAATTATATATGTACACTCAAAGTTAGTCGCTGCTAAAATCTTAACCTTGCATTTCGGGAAAATCTGACAAATGGCTCTTAGACTCAAATAAGTAACACAGATAGAAAGTACTCAGTATAACAATTATATATGTACACTCAAAGTTAGTCGCTGCTAAAATCTTAACCTTGCATTTCGGGAAAATCTGACAAATGGCTCTTAGACTCAAATAAGTAACACAGATAGAAAGTACTCAGTATAACAATTATATATGTACACTCAAAGTTAGTCGCTGCTAAAATCTTAACTTGCATTTCGGGAAAATCTGACAAATGGCTCTTAGACTTGTTTTGATAATTAATTCTTCAATTATATTATAATTTATAACAATTTCCTCAAACTATCTGTATGTCATTCAATTCCCGGCCATACATTCAATGATGGACCATTTCCTTCAAATTTTGAAATACCTTATTCAATTTGTGTATGGAGCCCGTGATATTCAACACTATGGAGCTCCTCCAGTTTGGTATCCAAGAAGAGATAAAAGCTAGCATGGGCTACTCTCAAAAATGCTTGAAGCAATATATTCAAGTTTGCAACAAGGATCAATAGATTCAAATCTTGTTTATTGTACTTTAAAGGTACTTTTAAAAAAGAAACAATTAATGTAAAAGATTCAAATAATTTTTTATTATTATTTTATTAATTTTTTAAAATCAGGTTAATAAAAAGTGACACTGGATAGTTTGTCCCACACTCTTAAATTATAACAATTATTTTTGGTTTTATATTTTTTTGGATCAAATCCATTTTAATAGAATTTATATACTATTCATCTATTAGTAAACACTACCGTATATTATTTTTTAAGCTATCTTATTTTTTGAACTTTTATTCAAATCTTTGGTCGCAAGAAGAATTGCATGATAAATAAAAACATTTAATCAAAGTCAATTTTATTTTTCATATTCAAATGGACTGAGTGTTAACATTTAACATTTTTTGCTAATTGTCGTCAAAAATTAGGCGTAAAGCAAAAATTGATATTTCATATGGTTTTATGATAGATAAGCATTATATTCCCACTCATTATATTCGTAAATTTTGAGGTTTATCCTTCGCTTTTAAGATCATTGAATTTGATTTTTATATAAAATAGTTATATATTAGAAAATAATATGAGTTTATGTGATATTATTTTTCAGAAGATTTCATTCTATATGCCTATGAAAAGTACTCTCAAAACTAACTTTTTCCTAATTATAATTAAATCTAGAATATTGTATTATGCTTAGTATTATTTCATTTTTCTCATTCAATTTAGAATTTACAAATGTCAAAAAATTGAGAGCTGTCACTTTTGATGAATTTCTGTTTATTACAAAATCTTAGAATGAAAATTCGGGACGCCCTAGCTATTCAATTTTCCCTTAGGACGCCCATAAACCTCTCAAAAATGTGATGTAAATATCACAATTTTGAGAAATTTACACTAGGACGCCAACCCCATTTTTTACCCATAAAAAATCTTGGCCTAAAAAAAAATTCAATGTAGAATGAGATGTATATTTAAAAGTGATATACCTCATGCAAGTAATATAACCATTATGATATTGGTCGGCTACGGAAGATTGAAATGAGGTTTTGAATTGAGGAGACCGTTTATTTAATTCACTTGTCGAAACAAAAGCATATGATAGATTACCGGAATACAGAGATAAATATATCTCCGGTCGACGATGTCAACTCACCAGAGCAAAGTTCAAATGGCGTTGCTGACGAAGAATCACAATATGATGAAATAGAATATCCGCCAATTTTAATGGAAGATATATTCCCATATTACAGGGATAACTTCATCGAAGATGATTGTAAAACTCAAGCCGCCATTATTGAAAACAAGAAGCGTGCAATTAACCTTAGATTACATCAAATTAACAAGATTCTTTCAAAGCTTTATGAAAAATGGCCACGCGCTTCACAATTAAATCTCTATGTGGCCTTCCTCAAATCAGATATGAGTCCAGATGACTTACTTGAGCGGATTGGCGACTTAGATTTCCAGCGCGCAGTTCGCGAAGAATCAAGAGAACGCATTAAAATGTCCAAACGTAGCAGGTCAAAGAAGGCAATGAAGGAAATACAGCAAAAAATTACAGCCCAGCGAATGAAAGAAATGGACTACTCAAGCGAAAGCGAAATTGAAGAAGATACAGATAGCAGCAGTTCCGAAGAAGATGAAGCGCCAAAGAAAAGGAAAAAGAATTCAACATATAAGCGCAAGACGTCGACAAAATTAGATGCCGAGCAAAACGCCGATTATCCATGCCCACCCAACATCAAGGCATCAATGTGGGACACATGGAGTGTTGCCAGAAAGAAATCTTACTTAACAGGAATGAAGAATCCAAACGCATATTTATATCGCCATTTACCTCCTGGCGAAAAGCAATCTAATGGTCCATGGACAAAGCAAGAAAAAGCACTGTTTTTGGCCAGATTGCAAGAGATGAGGGAAGAAGGAATCAAAACTGGCAAATGGGGCATCTTTTCACAGGCCATTCCAGGTCGTGTTGGATACCAATGCGCAAACTTCTACAGAAAACTTATCGCTTCTGGCGAAATCAAAGATAAAGATTATCATCTTGATAAAGATGGTAATCTGAGATATAAAGACCGCCAACCATACCACAAGAAATCTTCTGGATTACGCCCGCCTTCAGAATATGACGAAGATTCGGATTCCGAACCATCCAAACCAAAAGCACCGCGTGCACCAAGAGTCATCAAGGAAAAGGCTCCAGTGGAAAGTATGTACGATAAAATGGCCAAAATGAATCCATTTAAGAACAAAACTGATTGCATTACTGGTGAAATCATCAACGTTCCTGCAATTTCACCTGATGGAACAGTTCTTGACTACAATACATGGATGCATATCTTAACAACAACAAAACAAGATCCATTAACAATGAAACATATCAATAAGAGACAAATTGTCATATTAACAACTGAAAATATCGATTCGTATAGAAATAAGATCAAACACATTTAAGTTACCCTGATATTAATTAATACTTGTTAGCTAAACTACTTACTTTTTGAAAATTTCGTTTTGAAATGTATTTTTCTTCTTGAAATAATCGATTACCAACTTTTCTAGTGAAGTAATTTTGTCATGCATCCATCCAGTTGATAATTCATTTAATCAGATCTCTGATAGAATAACTCGCCATGAAGATAAATTCATTTTTAGTTATTTTTATGGCAAAATTAATTTCTCAGAGTCTGACTGCTTCTTTTCCAAGAAGAGCTAAGTGGTCTCCTGATGGGAAATGCCTTTTGTCAGCGACTTATGATAGAAAACTTCAATTTTTTTCAGCAGAAAATGGGATTTTAAATTCATCATTCGATAAAAAATCACCAAAAGACGTTACAGATATAGTATGGTATCCGTTAATGAATACAGATGATAAATCATCGTGTGCTTTCGCTTCAGTTTGCCCGTTTTTTCCTGTTGAATTAATAGATTCTTTAGATGGACATATTAGAGCCCAATACAGGTGTCAATACGGTGGAGATCGACCAGCTTCAATAGCATCTCTCGAATTTTTAGGAAATTCCATTTTAGCTGGAGGAAGCAAAACACTATATCAATGCGATATGATAAAAGGAGATAATTTTGGAACGCCTATTTACAATTGCAAAGGGTCAATCTTATCTTTAGCAACACATCCATCGTCTAATTTTTTAGCTGCTGGAAAGTCTACTGGTAAAGTCAGTTTTTTAGATGCCAGAAACTATACTGATGTTCTTGAAGTTGATTTTCATAACCATGGCGTTGATTCAATTTGTTGGGTTGATCATTTTCTATTATCATCAGCAAAACTTGAGAATGAAGTCATTATATTAGATACTAGAACTCCTTCTGTTCCATTTGGTTTTATTAAAATCGAAAGAAAGAGTAGCAGATACATTTCGATTTCCTACTCAGGAGATAACATCGTAGTCGGCAGTGAAGGGTCTAATGCCTTGATATATGATAAGGAATTCAACAAAATTGGTCAAGTTGGTGAAAATCCAACACCAATAGTTGAGATATCAAAAGATTCATATATTCTTGCTGCTTCTGGTACATTCCAGCAAATATCAGATGAAGATATAGGCGTCATTGAATTTCGTCCTATTCTCAAATCATTTTCTGTTTATAAATAATAGAGCTTTGTTTGAACATACTATACTTTGTGTCTAGCTTTTTTTAGTTTTTCACATGCATTATAGCCTTTAGATACTGAAATTGTGCAAATTATTTTTATAATTTACTTTGGAATGAGACATTGAAGTAACCAAATGCTGTTCCTATAAGAACTCTTTATGTTCCAAATGTCATTAACATTGCACTAATGATAATCAGATGACATTCTTCTTTACTGACAATATATTATTAGAGAAAAATTGCAAATAATATCCATTATATGATATTTTCACATAATTTTGATCCCGATACTACGAAATTTGTAAAATTTGTCAACAAAAAAATTTCGAATGAAAAGAATTCATTCAGTGATCAAGAACAAGAGTGACTCGGACGATGATCTCGACGACGTTCTTGGACTGTTCAGTGGAAACCATTATGAAGCTGTTGAAGCAAAAAAAAGACTTAGAAAAGCGAAATATCAGAGAGAAAAGCAAAAACAAAACGAAGCAAAGAATTTAAACCAACAAATCGAAAGTAGAAAAGACTACAATGGTAAAAATTACTATCATCAACCTCAACATCAAACAACAATAACCGTCTCCAGAAACGGGACAAATATACGCGCAAACCGCGATCCACTATATGGTACACTTAAAGATGGAATGGTACCATCACTTCCTCCACCTCCTCCTGAAATGTATCCAGATTTCACAGAAGGAATCCCAGAATCAAGGGCTGAAATTGAAGAGCCTTTCAATCCTAAGGCTCCTCCACCACAGCTCCGTCCAGAAACGAAGTCAGCAGTAGGAACAGCTTATGGAATTCAAGTTGACGTTCCGAAAGCACCAATACCTACGAAATTTGTATCTGCTGGAAGCAAGAGACAAAACCAGATTATTAATCCTACCCCTTACATGCCTTACGACTACCAATTACAACAATATAACCAATACATCTCTCCAGGAATGAGTATTGGAGAACAAAATGGTTATGTTGGACCTCCTATCCCTGTTGATATGATATACAGACGTGATGATTCTCAGCCATTTTATCCAGAAGGATATCCACTTGGCCCATTCCATTATGGCGACCATCCTCCACCTATCGGACAAGGTCCATATCAAGAGACATACTTGGAACCTCAAAAATCCCAGTTTGATCCGTCAAATCGTAATGTCCCAATTGAAAACGATGGAATTGTTATTTCATCACCTAATATGGCCTTCAACTACCAATATAACGTTAAGTCTCAGCAACGCCTTTCTGCTTCTTCCGGAATTCAGATAACTCCAAGAGAAAAAACTTGGGTTCAACCAGCACAGATGAATGCTGGAAACAAGACATTTACTGCTACAACAGGAACAACAAAACTCCCTGAAAAAGTCCCAACTTCACTCGGAGTTTTGACAATTGGAAAATCTAAGGTAAATCCAAACCAATTCAAGCTGGAAGTTCCTCACCGTGGTGGTATTAATATAGAAATAGGTCATACACAAAGCCAAGAGACCAAACAAGAAGAAGCAGAGAAAAATGAATAAAAATTAAGCATAAAATGTTATTTTTTCTACAAACTATAATGTTTTTTGTTTAATTTCGCCTTATTTATCTTATAATTTTAAGGAAAATTTGATATAAAATTGAAATTTTCTCATAAAAAACATTTTTTAACAGTTTAAGTCTTATGAACAACATTTTTAAATTACATACTTTATGAATAGATATATATCTTTATTTTGTTTTAATTTTCAAAAACAATTCCATCGATATCAAAGACGTCAATGACGATCTCTGATTCTTTTTGAGTGTTATCACCTATCATTGTGATGTTAAATCCATAATATAGCTTCTTTGTAAGGATACGAAATTCAGCTATTTGAGTTCCAATGAGAGTATCCTTTCTTTTATCAAGTGCATCATATTTACCATCCTTATCAATACCATAAAGTGTTCATCCTGTCATATATTGGTTCTCAGACGCATACTCATCGTGTTGTCTAATTTTATAGCAAAATGGAATACATCCGAAACAATCAAAGTGAATTTCTGTTTCTGATGATCCATTTGCCATCTCTAAATCTCTTTGAGCAAGTATATTCTGTGTTATCATGCACTTACGTGGGTATCTTTTATTAATTTGTAAATCAAACGATAATAATGGTTTCATTGAATGCCATATTGATGCAGCAGCTTCATTGTTCATTTCTGGGGCAACTTTATCCATTACAGCAGCAAGTCTACTTTTGAATGGTTCACTAACGTATTCCCAAATGACATTCTCTAAAAGAATAACGAAGGAGGCATCTTTTGAGATGATTTTAGTAATGAATTCAACTAAATTATTTTCCCATTTTACAAACAATGACTTATGCTTTAAAACCATGTTTGTAGCTTTTGCTCCAGCTGCATAACAGCTATTAAGTAGTTTTTCTTCTGGTATTCTACAAAAATTCTCTGCTATTATCTTTGTCGATGATTCATGGTCAGCCATAAAACAATACTTAAAGTATTGAACATGAAAATCAAGATTTTGTGCATCAAATTTCTCTTTAAATAGGTTAAGTATTCCGTGACATTCCATTGAATCGATAAAATCAAAGAATTCGGTAATACATTTCATATCATAAGAGTTATTTAGGCCTCCATTTTTGATTAAATCACCAATCATTTTGTATGTTTTGTCTTCTTTTATCTTGAAGGATGTGACATAAGCTTTAATTGCTTTATCCGTTAGATAAGTTTGTAATATTTTATTACTAAAAGAAATTGCGAAGGCTGTTGGCATGAAAAACTCTCGATTATTAACCAGAAGTTTGAAGTTATCATCTGTGGTATAGCTAGCAAGACTAACTAAATGAGGAGGATGAACATCGCAAAAAATCGTCATCAATTTGAGGTTATAAAAAATAAAAAAGTGAAAACAATCGTCATTTATATTACATTTAATGTATAGATTGTGTTTCACGCATGCTAAATATAACTTTTAAATTTGAATTGGCTCTCAAATAAGAATTGATGGTCGCGGAAGAATTTGATAAGTTTACAATATTTTCAAATTCTAATAATCTGCACCGTTTCATTATTTCGATTAATATAATTTTAATAATTTTGAGAACAATAACGGATAAAATAAAATGTTTATGAAATATTTGAATAATTTATCTTTCGAATTCTTTTAGGATCTAGAATAAAAAAATTGATGAAAAGTGACAAATAATTTAATCAATCATAGTCCTTGACAATTGAGTCGAAATAATGATTTCTAAATTTTGCTATTTAATCGCACAACGTATCAAGTTCATATGCTCTTTTAACCTCATCAAAAATGTTTCATTTTTAAATGAAATTGTTAATAATTATGAAACATTGATGTAACTCATGAATTATAAGTAAAATCATGAGACAAATTGAACACAGTTTGATAAATTTGTATCATCATATCCAAAGCTGAAACCCATGGGATTGTACTTCTCATTCTTAATTTCCAAATATGTTTCATCATCAAGTCTTTGCTATGTTTGTCCACAATATCGATTTTGAGCGAGTTGTTCAGTAAATACTTGCTGAAAAATTTAAATATGTTATCAAATATCGCCTTTATGGCTTATTCTTCAATAAATTATACGTGAAAAGAAGTTCTGATAATCAAGATATGAAACATTGATGTAACTCATGAATTATAATTATAATTATAAGTAAAATATTTAAATACTTGTAAAAATTTGGAGAATTGTTAGAATATAATTCGCTCAAACTTATATGAAATTCTTTGCGAGTCCATTCGTTCCTAAATTCAGGAAAAAAAAATCTGTTTTACAATAAGATTGGAATTGGAATCTTTTACTGTATTAGACTCCTAGTTTCTACATTATGAATGATAGCTTACATCTCTAAAGCATAATCAATCTTCATCGATTATACTGAAATGAATTTCAAAATGATTATCTGCATGCTGCATTGCCAATTAATTCATTATCTGAAAATAAAGACCGAAATCAAAGGTTTTTATGTGTCAAATTTTCATTCAATAATTTTACATTACGAACGAGATCGGTAAACTTTTTGATTTTTAAATATTATTTAAATAGATATTATGGAGATAAAATATGCCGCCAGTATTGAAATTTTCAAAAAAAAGTTGAGATCCGAAACAAACAATTTCCTACACGGGTGGTATGTTTGGTAAAATAATAATGCTCATTTCATTTTCGAAATTCAAATGGCCATCAGAAAATTTTTTTTTGATTTTTTCTGATCATAAAAAATTATGTTTTTATTGTTCCTTGCCCTCGGTTTTTCAAACATCCAGGCAAAATATACCCTGAAAGAAGATGAGCCAATCAATGCCGAAATCAACAACCAAGCCGATCCACTTGATTCATCTGCCTCAGAGTCAACTTCTACAGAGATATCACCATCCTATATGCCAACCGAATCATCATCCGATTCACCAACCGCTATCCCTCCAGAGCCATCTTCTGAGATAACTTCCCAATCATCTGAAACATCCTCTGAAACAATTCCTCCAGAGCCATCTTCTGAGATAACATCTCCATCTACTTCTGAGTCCTCTGAGACAATTCCACCAGCACCATCCTCAGAAACAACATCAACATCTCCATCTTCCTCTGAGTCCTCTGAGACAATTCCTCCAGAGCCATCCTCAGAAACAACATCAACATCTCCATCTTCCTCTGAGTCCTCTGAGACAATTCCTCCAGAGCCATCCTCAGAAACAACATCAACATCTCCATCTTCCTCTGAGTCCTCTGAAACAATTCCACCAGAGCCATCTTCTGAGACAACATCAACATCTTCTACATCCGAAGCCCCAACAGTCGCTCCAACAGAAATACCAACTCCAAAGCCAACAGATTTACCAACTCCAAAGCCTACAGAAATACCACCACCACCAAAGCCAACAGAAGAGCCAAAGCCAGAGCCAACACAGCAGCCAGTTACACCAACACCAGACTCACAGAGGGGCGGATGGACTAAATGAAAGAAGATCGCTGTATCACTTTCAGTAATCGGTGTATTGATCATCATCGCTGTTATTGTCGCTGTCTTCATCTTTACAAAGAAGAGGAAAGTCACAGAAGCTTCTGGAATCCTCTCTGATAAGTTAATTAACGAAGTTTAAATACTCAACTTTCGAAATAAATATATTCAAAGTATACCTATTTATTTTTATAACCTAATATATCTTATCTTTTTCCGAAATTTTATAAATTTTATTAATTTTAGAATTATCATTAAAATATAGGAAAATTTGCAAAACATCCTTGGAGTAATTAGAAATACAGAGTTTTTAACATTATATGTTGCAAATAAATTTCAAGGTTTTGAGATGTAATGCTTTCATGCTATGTTAATAGTCAAATTATTCTGTCTTTGGTGTGAATAATATTTTTATAAGACGACCATGCCTTATCGAGAATATTTTTCAAATTTTTTTTTGTTCCTAAGCATTTTCTAAGAATTCTAAATCTGTACTTGTTATTTTTGTCGATGTAATGATGCTCTCTCTATAAAATATATGATGACAATATTTTTTATTTTAATAAACAAAACAAACATAATTTTTTTAAAGGATAACACTATTTCGTTCTTCTTTGATGGTCAGTTAGCATCTTTAGTATCTCTGCATTCTTAAATTTTGAAGCCAAAGAGATAGCATTTTTCTCATTTGTTGTGAATTCAATATTTGCATTCTTTTCTAACAGAAGTCTAACCATAGTTATATTATTATTAATTACTGCGTACATGAGAGGCGTTGTGCCATTACTATCGCAATAATTTACGTTTGATACGTACCGAATAATAACTTCCGCGCATTCTGTCTTATTATACTTGATAGAAGCGATAAGAGGTGTCAATGAGCTATTGTTTATTGCATCCACATTTGCCCTTCTTTCTAAAAGTAGTTTGACAATATGAGGATGATTGTTCATCATTGCTAAAAACAAGGCTGTGTTTCCATTGTAGTCTGGAAGTTCAATATTTGCGTTCATATCAAGAAGAAGGTTACAAATTGAAGCAAATTCGCAAGTTGTTGCTGCCATTAGCGCTGAGTGGCCAGTAGCATCGATTTCATCTATATTAGTAGCTCCTATGAGTTTCTCGTAGAAGCATTTGAAGTTAAAACTGTTCAAAGGAGACATCCAAGTAAATGTCATTCCATATTTCTCAACTAGATATTCGACAACCTCGTTGTGATGATTATTAACAGCTAGTCGTATACACCAGTCAGTAATTTCTACACTACGTTCACAAATATGAATTATTTCATAACAATTGCCAATAAACGAATTTTTGAATGTTTCCTTAGTAATTTTGCATCCACTATTTACAAAGAACTTAAAGCAGTTAATAGCTCCGCATCTTGAAGAAAAATCTAGTAACGATTCTTTATTTATCATCATTTGATTATTAAAATCGACGGTATTGGTTATCATAGTCTGTAAATCATCGAATTTATCCCAGAAAATTATATGAGAAAGAGTTCCTTGTGGATATATATCTAAAATTTCTTGTTCTGTAGAATTTTCGAATTCAGAAGGTGCATAAAAGTTTATTTTTCTTCTTAATACTAATAATGCTTGAAGATATTTGGATTCAAAGCGTAACTTTGTTTTGATTTGATAATTTAGTGCAGCTATAACACCAGAATATAAATTTTCATAAAAGTTAAGCTGTTTTATTCGTTTTGAGCATATATAATCTATCATCGCTAATACATTGAAGATGGTTAATTGATTATTTTGAACCAAATTAACAGCTAGTTCTAGTATTCGAGTCGTATTTGTGTCATTAGCCTCCCACAACATTTCACTAAGCTCCAAAAGATCTTGATGCTCGGGAGGCAGATCATCAAGATCTTTAATCATATGATAAAATACCCATTCTTTACTGGAAAAGTGCTCAACTTTATATTTATAGCACCAAATTCTCTTTACACTAGCAAAATTTTTGAAATGGTTCCATAAAATTTTTTTGTCTATCATGATTTTTCTAAATGGTTTGTAAATTATATCATTTTATGTGATTTGGAAACATGTTTTTGAGTTAATAGAAAGTAAACATGTTAATAAAAAATTTATTCGAACAAAATAAAGAAAGATACAATGTTATAGTAAAAGTTCAGCAGAAAGATCTAATTTATGCTCTTCTTTCTTGCTTTTAATAGTTATTACATCATTTAGACCAAGTTCTTCATCAAAATCGTCTTCTTCTTCAAGAAGATCATTAATTTGATCATTAATCTTCATAAGATTTTGCTTAACATCATCTTCTTGCGAATCCATTGGTTGTTTTACGTCTTCTTCTGAATCAAGAACAATTTTTTCATTTTCATCGGATTTTATTTGGTCAGACTTCATTTTCTCTTCACCACTTAATTCATTATCGTCAATTTGGTCGATCTCTTTTGGTGGTTGTTCCAAAAATTTAATTTCTTCTTCCTCTTCCTCTTCTTCAAGAGCGTGATGAGCCAAATCATGTATCTTGTTCAGTACTGTTGTTACAAACTCGTCATCGCTTTCTTGAGTTGGACATCTTGGTAATTCTTGATTTTCTTCTTCATCAGAGATAGTTATTAAAGATTGGCTGCTCTGATTAATAAATAAACTGTATTTGACATCTGATTCGGAGTGTATAAAATCATAATCATTCTTTTCTGGATTTTCGTAATAAATTGGATCAAAATCATCTGATTCTTGATCAATGTTATCATCTATATGTAAATCGCGTGATTTTGAGGTTGGTGACTTTGGAAATAGTGAATGAAATTCTTTTTCGATATCTTCTTCAGTTCTTAGTGGTTGAAGCACAGGAACCTGTTTTTTAGGTTCTTCTTTCTTGGGTTCTGCTTTTTGTGGTTGAGTATTTTGTTTCTGATTTGGAGTATTTGTCGTTTGTTTTTGATTTCGTCTTTCTTCGACTTTTTTACGTATTTTATCGATGTCAATCTCATCACCAGAGTCTGAATCGTACCATTGTTTCGAAAGCGATCGCTTTGTTTGCTTTGGTTCTTGTATTTTTGAAGATGTTTTCAAATTTGGACTTTTGATCAAATAAATCATATCATCGCTATCGCTATCTAGTTGTATTGATTCTCTGTTATTCTGCTTGTTAGAATTAACTGTTGGGTTAACGTTATTTTCTTTTCTTTGGAAAGGCGAATATAGTGATGAATTTGAAAAACTGAGACCGACTTCCGTTGTACCAGACTTTGGTGTAGGTCTTTCCCTGCCATTTTGAGTCAATTGAGAGTTCAAAGGTGAATAATTTTCAATTTTTGGTTTTGGCTTTGGATTATTTGAAGGAGTTAGTTTTTCACTTGGTATACTACGTTCTTTAACTGGTTGTTTAAGTTCATAAGCCTTCTGTAATTTGGGCGAGTCATATTTCTTGAATTCTATTGGTTTTTTATTCTTCTTGCTTGGTAATTCGCCAAGGAGTAAATTAAGAGCAGTAATCCTCTGACGGAGATCCTCGATCTCTGTATCTAAGGTGCTCATTTGATCAATGAAAAAAAAATTGTAAAGTCGATTGAGATAAAAAAAAATTCAAAAGGTAAAAAATAAAAAACGATCAGTTGGTAGTGAATATGCAAGATCTCTATGAGCAAACTTCATTTCACAACAAATTTTGGTTAAAAAGAACAGAACACATTCGAAATCATAAGCTTCTTTACAATATGGTACGTTCATATTACAATGATACGGGATGTGAAGTTAGTATAGCAAAAAGCATATTTCCTGGAATCAATTATAAGTTCAATTTTTGGGAGGATATAAATTAAAGAAAGTAGATTGCAAGGTTTTAAGATTTAACTACAATTAATCCAATAATGTTGTTTTTCATATAATTAATTAAAAATAAGGATACATAATTGGACGTTGACATTATTATTGGAAAAAAACCTGCGAATGCTCTCATTTTAAAAGTATTTGGTTTCGTGTATATGACTTTGGAATTATTATAGTTTTTTGTTTTGTTGAATAAATTTTGAAGATTTTGAAGTATTGTAATATGGATATTAAAATGTTACATCTGGAATATCAAATGATTTTGTAATTTCCGAGTGTGACAACTCTCACACTTCAATGACAGATAATTTTACACCAACCTAATAAAATCGTGCGAACATGGAGAGCATTGCTTTAGAATCATTTTCTTCTTTATTTAGCCTACAAACAATAGATAACATATCAAGGAAACCGAGGGTGAAAATGAATCAATAAAAAAATTAAAATACTCCGAGGAAATCGTTTGGAAGCCTAAGAATGTATTGAATGTTAAATAAAATGCATTAAAAATCAGGCGCTTTTGAATCCGAAAAAGTGTCAAAAATTTTTCGACTTATATTTGATTGTGCCTCTCAACTGTCAAAAGTCATTCTAGGGTTAAAATTGGAGGTATAGATGGCATATGCTAACATCTTATTCCACATATAATTAAATTTGAAAAAAATTAGACAAAAACACAAAATATTTCGAAATATATAAATCAGCAGCAAAAATATGAGAACGATTACATGCTCTAATAGAAAGCAGTTATGATACCCTAATCAAAAAGCTAATATTTACAATTATTACAAATAATGAATAAAAAAGGCATATGCTAGTAAAATAGTGCATTAAATATATTAGACTGATGGTAAAATATATTATTTATTTTGAAAGTCATATATTTTATTTATAATTGAAATTTCTGTAATTTTTCTAAAAGAAGTTCTGGTAAATGTTTGATTGTGTTATTTGTGTTTATAGCCATCGCTAATCATATATTTTTTTCATTTTCATCTGTCAAGAATTGTCTCTTAGCGTAAGAAAATTGTGAATATTACACAAAAGTTAGAATAAATATTTCAAATCTCCGAAACTAAAGATTATTAGGTTGTAATAAGTGTTTGTGATTGATGAATCAGTAGATGACAATTTGAATTATGATTCAAAAATCAATTCTAACGGTTATATAGAAATTTGAATACATTCGAGTTCATATTATGAAGAAAAGAACTATACACTGATTCACTGCCAATGATGATGACATAATCCTTAGGATCGTAAACGAGAACCAAGGAGATTTGTCTTCATCAATCCCAAAGATAATGGAAGAGATCGGTGAAAATCATTCTCAAAGATCTATCATTGACAGATACAAAGCGTTCCTAACTCAGAAAAGATCCGAATGGACGAGAGAAGAGGATAAAGCCCTCATGGAAGCTTGCAGAAATTTTAAAGGAAGATGGTCCCTTATTGCCAAGTTTTTTGATGATAGATCAGGAGATCAGGTAAAAATACGCTACCATCAACTATCCCAAGACCAAATCAAAAAGAAAAGGCAACAGAGAGCTGAGCAAAAAAATAAAAATAAAACAGCAGTTACGAAGAAGAAGGAAACAACCATTGATGAAAACGAAATATGGGATATAATCAATAAGGACTTCGAAAACCATTTCAATGACATTTTTGACTGAAGAAATTCTTGTTTGCTGTACAGAAAATGATTTATCATTATTTACTGGTAGAGTTAGTTAAGGAATTATATGTAAGATTAATTGCAATATTGTATATTTATTAAAAATTTCTATATTACAAATATCAATATTTTGCCATTGATTTTAACATGTTCACTTAAACATTGCAAATAAAAAAATTTTGGACATACTTGTAGTAGGAAGATACCTTTTGAAAATAATATTTGTTTTCAATATCAAAGACAAAATCAGAAAAAAATATCAAAAAATCGACTTATTCAAATAGAAATGCCTCAAATATTTTTACCAGTCCTATTTTGATTAATTTTATAATAAAAATTTTTGCTTAAATGTTCAGAGGACCATTAAATTGAAATTTTGAAAGAGTATTCAAAAATATTATTTGCCATTCAATTTTTAAAATTTTCCATGCATGATTATTGTGTCATATGCATATTATTGATTATGCAAATAATGGAAATACTCAAAAACTTGTGATGTAAAAATTTGAGAAATACAATGGATTACAATTTGAAATTCATATTCGTTCACGAAAAATTTGACTTATCTGAATTAATAAAATGACATCATATTGAGAAGCAATTGAATATTTTCTTCAGATCCATTCAAACAGTTTATGAAATTGTGCGTCAATAAATTTTACCACACTTTTTGAAATTCTATAGTCTCGAAATGAAGATAAAATTTTTGTAAAAGGGGATTTATACGAGAACCATAAAAATGTAAATACTATTGTGCATAATTAGCATTATTAAAATATCCAAGAAATGCTTTTCCCATATAAAAAAACGAAAAATGAAATATCGAATCAAATATTATAAATCAGTTTCAATCAATGAATATAACAATGCCAATATCACATGCTTATGGATCTATATTTTTATCAATTCATTTCAGAAATAGCATAATATTTTATTAAGATAACAAAAGAATAAAAAAAAATATAAATATATATTAAAATCAAAATTACAATATTAATATGAATAAACAAATTCATCAGGAGTCATGACTAAGCTGATTTTCTGGGGAGTATTAATGAATAATGTCGGACTAATCAATACTTGTGTAGGTGCTTTCAATGCTTGTACTTGCATCTCTCCTGTTGGAAGCAGTCCTTTATCAATTGTATTATTTACCAACGCCATTGCTGTTGAAATTCTTCTTGTTGATGCTGTTCTTCTTCTCTTACTTTTTCCTGTAACTCTCATCATTGCATCAATCATTTCCATTTGGCTCTGGAAAGGTTTTATCTTTGGAGGAGGTCCAGACAAAATAGATGCGCAAGCAGCGATGCTTTGGCAATCAGTCATTGATAACTGTGGACATTCTTTATCAAGCATTCTTCCAACACTTCTTGTTACATCTTCCAATGGCCTTGCCCAAGTATAAAACTCAAATGCGCATTTGGAAGCAACAGAAGGCATTTTCTTCGAAATATTTACAATGAAATTAATTGCTTCTTTGCAATTCGAAATATTATTCAAGGCATAAGTATAGATCTTAGTCAAAGGAGATCTATTGTTTTCATTCGTGTATTTCATGATGATTTGTCCAGAAATTCTAAAAATAGAGTTCATAACTCCAAAAGAACAAGAAGTAATCATCATGGAATAGTGAAGTAAAACATTATATAAAGTAGTTTCATTGCACATTTCTAGCAACTGTTGTGTTGTTTCTGTCATTGTAGTGAACAAGTCTGGTCTGTTCTCTTTAATTGGGGCAACAATCATTCGAAGTTCTTGTGCAGAACTACTTTTGATGAAATAATCAAAAATTTTTTGTGTCGTGTCATCAGTTTCTAAATCAAACAACAAAGGCCTGATGAATGAAACAATTCCATTCCAAGCACTTGCAGATGTTAATTGATTACTAAGACACAAAACAAACAATCTTTTCGCAAGAGGCAAACAAGTATCAACGAAAGTAACACAATCAAAGAAAGAACACAAATATTTGTAAACAAATTCTTCATGTTCATTGAAATTCGCTGTGTAATAAAGGAATGTTTCGCCAATGAACTGTGTCAATAATTTCACATCATCACCTTTGTTTTCATCAAAATTGGAAAGGTGGAAATGCGCAGTTCTTGCAATTTGAGAACAAACTAAATTAGAATTTGGAATTAATAATTGATTATAAATAATCAAAGATGTATAAGCGACTTTCAATGATCTGGCGCCGAATAAGAATCTTAATGATTCTTCTCCCCATGTCTGCAATGTTTCGTTGTCATTTAACTTGGAAATCAACACCATCACCGTTGAAATAATTTTTTCTGTTGTCAAATTTCCATCAAACAACTGAATTCCGAAATGTTTTGTTATTGCATCCAAAAGGTCTTTGTTGATATCTCCTATGATGAAAGCGAAGTGTATTATCTTCGGAAGGCTTTCAACAATGACATCAGGTGTCTTCTGAAGCGCTGAGACCAAAAGAGGGACAACCCAGAGTTCTTCTTCGATGTTTTTCTTGAGACATTCTGTGACATAAAAATAATAAGAGAAAGAACATCTCGGAACTAATCTTTTCACAACGGAAGAAGGATCTGAGTTAATAAGGTACTCAAACATCTTCCTCTTTGTGTCTGGATTATGCCACGAACTGATGAAAAGAGGAATAAGTTCTCCATGGTCAGGAAGATTCAAAATAATTGACCAAAGAGGAGCAATTGTTGTGAAATTGTCCGGACCAACTTTTTCAGTTGTCTCCATCAAAGCAACCAAAAATCTATAAGGAGTAAACATGTGGAAATCCGTTGGAGTATCAGGAACACATGAAGGGGACTTTGGAAGTAATCTAAGCTTAGGAAGCCATGGTTTCATTGCGTCTACCATCACGGAAATAGGAGTTTGTAGTCCTTCCAAAGTGAAACATTTGAAAGCAGAAGCGAAAATTGATTCTGCGGCATACAAGAAATATTTTGGTAATAATTTAATGAAATCTTTCGAATTCATTTCTCTTTGTATTCTTTCTTGTGATTCTTTGGATCTCTTCTGTGAAATAATGTCAACCAATGCACATAAGTACTGATTCGCCTTCGGATGTTCCCTTTCACAAAGAACAATTCCTAAAAACAATAATTGGCCGGATAATTTATAAATGAAATCTACTCTTTTTGCGTCAAAAGCCATAAAAATCGCATCAATAAAGAATTCAGCAATTGAATAAGGATATTTGATGCAACAATCAACATATATTTCTAATAACATTTCAACATGGAAATAAAGCAAAAACGATAGAGTATTTCCACCTTCCTTGTCAATTTTTGCCAACAAATTCAATACAGAATCATCGACGATTATGTTATCGCTAAAAATTTCACTGATTTTGATCATTGCTGTCAATGCTTGTGCTGCGTATTCTCTCAAACCTTGCAATAAATGAGAAGTTGTCGACATCCAGTTAACTAAATATCTGAAAACAATTTCGCGACTTGGAAGACTCCAATCTTCGACATTTATCTGATTACTTGGTTTAGTGAATGCGATGATTAATATCGCACAATAATCAATGATTATTGATTTGTATTTTGCGACATTTTCTTCTGATTTCTCATCCCATTCTATGGCTCTTGAGCTGTTGACTTTTACTTGAACGAAATGTGTCTGAACAAAAGCCAAAAACTCAAACAAATCAGGCAACAACTCGTTCAAATATGATTTGCAAATTGTTGGTGATCTAAACAAAATTGCAATGGAATGAACAGCATCAGGGATATGCTCAACTTTCACTCCATTTAACAATCTCAAAACACTTGGATACAAAGAAATATTAACACTTTGTATCGTGTTAAACGCGACTTGGTCCATCCATGAGTTAGAATTCAACATTTCCTTTAGATCACGCATTGCTTCTTCTCTTCTGTCAATGTTCTGATTGTATGGCTCGTATTGATTTGTTAAATACGGAGCAGGAGACAACAAAAATGTCTTCACTTCAAAATGTGTTGAAATGAACAAAATAAATGTTCCAATTGCAACAGCAGATTGATTTGAAACTCCGTTAACTGTTATGTATTTGTTTGGCTGCAAATTCTCATAGAATCGCTCCAAAATCGGTGTGTAATTCGTGGAAATCAAAATATTCGTGATTTCTGACACGAAAACAATCCACAAATCGTAATAATGGCAAAGAATTGCTGTTTCCAAGTTAATTACTCCAGGAGGAGCAGGACTTGTAACAGGGAATTCAGTGATGTTATTTGCAATTAACTTCTGTTTAACTATACCTTCCAATGTCGGAATGTTTTGTCTTATATAAGTTATTGATCCTCTTCCTTTCAAACAATCATTTACAGCTAATAACAACTTGTAAGCTAAAAATCTTGTTGAAGGATGAATGGAAATAAAACCAATATAAGCAACAAGTTCTATATCATGGTAGACATTCATTTTAAATGAATTTCCACCGTTGGTTAATACAGTTAACAACAAACTTAAACATAAAAATAAAGTTTCATCAGTTGTTGGTTTCATCGACATTTGCAATAACTGTTGTACAAATTTTAGTTGCAAAGCTGGTAAAACTAAAATATTGTTGCAAATGTGTAAAGCTGCCAACGCAATTTCTCTGTCTTTATGTGCACTCAGTCTTACACACATGTTTATCATTTTGGAAGTTGCGAAATCATTTGCAGTCAAAACAAATCTCAATGTTCTCACTAATTGAACAGGAGTTGTGAATGGATTTTGACTTTCTTGTGCGAAATTGTAGGAAACTCTGGAAATTCCAAGATTAGATATTTTCCAACTATGTAATTTCTCTTCTACTTTTCCATCTGCTTCTTCCATTCTTGTTTTCATCTCTGTATCTAATGTTGGAAATGGAACTGCGTCTTCTGAATTTTCTGGTTTAACTGTTTTCAAAGCTTCAGCAATTTTAGGTGACAGCAGTTTGTTTAACTGGTCAATGTCTTGTTGTGATGCTTTTGATAAGTTGTTCTCAATGAAATACTGTGAATTTATCAGTTGAACGGTCATTAAAAGAACAACAAATCTTGCATCATTGAATTGGAGATTTAGAAACTTTGGAAAGATCTCCTGCATGAAATAACTGAAACCAATCGATGCAAGATGCGTCAAAGTATGTGAAAATGCTTCAGGAGCAGTTGAAAAGTCACTTTTTGAAAAGAAATTTTGCATAAAAAGGTTTGAAAATGAATTTTGGTCACTTTGCTTGATTTTTGGCTGAGAATTCCATTTGATGAAGCATAATGGAGATGTTGGTGACTCTATGCCCCAATTCCACATCAGCCACTTAGTATGCACTTGTGTACCGTAAATTAACCGTTGAAATAATTTCAAACTTCGTGGTACTTTTTCGGGTTGAGAAGTATGAGCGTAAACTCTCTTTTTGAAGAATAAATCCATCTTCTTTTCTTGTTTATCGACTCTTAGGAACAAAGAGGCAAGTAAATCGAAGGTTCCGTCCTTGAGTTTCGAATCTTGGCGGAGATTCCAAATTACATCGAAAAGATCATTGAGATAAACAGTCTTTTGCATGGAACTGACGAGTTTGGCAAGGGATTGAAGAGTTTTTACGGTCAAAACTCTGTCTTTGTAAAGTTTTTTGATGGTTGAAATAATAAATGCCAAAAATTCTTGATGTTCTGGGTAATTTAGGTTCAACTGGATATAACAGATCATTTGGAATGTGTATTCCCTGGTAGAAGCCACTTCAATCTGTCTCCTGAAGATTTTCATTATCCTGGAAACGTATTGCTTGCTAACCAACGAGAAAATGACCGACCACTGCTGTATAATACTGCTGTGGAGCCATGGAAGAGGTGTATTTTTGTTGCAAAGTTTGAATCCGCATTCAATTAATTGTTTGCAAGCGTGTGTTGGTCCGTATTTGGAGATAATGATGCAGGCAAGGTCGCAAACAAAGAAATGCATGAAGTTTACGAACAATTGTTTATGGTAAACGTTGTCTTGCTTCATTAAAGTCGACATTCCTCTGAGATTTGTAAAAACTGAGGTGATTCCTGTGGTCATTATCTCGTCAAACATTGTGCAGATGTATTGGATCACGATGTCTGGGTCAACACTGGCTACCTGGCAGATTTTTTCCATGATTTGGAAATATGTATTCGCCTGTCTTGGAAAAGAGTCGAAAATTTGTGAAATAATCTCATTGTGAGATGCACTGGGATTACTTGCCATCTGACTTTCGAACGTAGAGATGGCTTGGTTCAATGTTGGAGCAAAATTTTCAAGAAGTCTGTTCAAAACAGCAAGGAAAATGTTTGTTTGCTCTTGGGATTCATTCTGTATCCTTATAGGGAACTTCTTTTCCTTCATAAAGCCATAAAGACCGTTTACATCAAAATAATCATAGTAAGCACCGTTATTTGCCATTAACTGAGCTGTAAGCATGTTGTATTTTTGTAGGCATGTGGATGTTGGTATAGATTTGCATCTATAGTTAGTTAATAACCAATATAAAATATAATGTCTGTGATATTTCATTGCAACAGAAGCGCATTGATCAAATTGATTGTTCTTTTGTGTAAGTATTTCGATAATCGATTCGTTACCACCGGCTATTGCATATTCGCATGTTTTCTTTGTTAAATCAAAATTTAATGTTGAAAGGTATTTAAAAATGTTATATGCGCCAAGGAAACATGAAAAGTCAAGTAAATTGAGTGATTTTTCTTTGTAGGAAATAACTTTTGTCTCTAATTCGTTCGGTTTAACTGATTTTTGGAATTTTTCAAGGTTATTTTGAAGAACGGCATTGTATATTTCTTTATTTTCGGGTTCAACATCGTCACTCGGGAATAAAATGTTCATTATGTTAGGATCATCAGGAAACTTTGATGAATTCCTGAGTAAATCGTATAATTTAGGCGAAAATGTTCTATGTTTTGCCGCGTATATTATAATATCCCTAAAGTTCTGAAGCACGTTCTGATATGTGAATAAAAATGTCCATAAATCTTTAATATTCTTATAATCAACGCTCCAAACGGCTTCTTCTATCTGTATTGTAGCTCTGATATCATCCCTGAGATTTGAAATGTTTAATGGGAGTTTAACAAAGCTAGGGAGTTTAACAAAGCTAGGGAGTTCAACCATTCTATTGTTATTTGAAAGTTAGTGAACGTTTGAAATAAAAAATATTGCGATAGTTAAAATTCTGAAGTTTACACTGTCTGATTGAATTTTGAGTAGTTTCTTCACTCGTCAGATAAAAAATTAATTCAATCAAATAAAAACGCATAAATTAAGATCTAACTATTTATAAAAACAAACATTCAAGAAATTAATTAAAAAAAATTTCTACAACAAGGTTGAGTAGGGGTAATTTTAGCTAAAAGTGACACGCCTGCAAAAAGTGACACACCCATGAAGGGTGTGATTACCGATCGGTAATTTCGACAGTTTAGAATTTAAAATTTTTTATGGAACTGTTGCGAGTTTCATAAAGAATTTAAGGAATATAAGCAAAGATTTGAATCAAAATCTTAGACCTAAGCCGCTCGATTCGCTCGCGGCTTCCGCGAATTACAGATCAGCAAAGATTTGAATCAAAATCTTCGAACTAAGCCGATCGCTTCGCTCGCGGCTTTCTTTATTATTTTAAATTTGCATATTTCCATCAAAAGTTCATAAGGTAAAAAATTTCGTTTATTTTTACTAAGAAAAAAAGGTTTTTGATAATAAATTTATTTTATTACGAAAAAGTAGCAATAATCGTAAAAGGGTATTGATAGGCTTGCTAAAGTAACTAATTTTAGCTGTCAAATACTTTTGTATTTTGAAGTAAATTAGTATAAATTTGTTTTTACTTTTATTTCGAAAAAGTAGCAATAATCGTAAAAGGGTATTGATAGGCTTGCTAAAGTAACTAATTTTAGCTGTCAAATACTTTTGTATTTTGAAGTAAATTAGTATAAATTTGATATTATTTTAACTCCCTTTGAAAACCTCAATTTTCCATACAGAGGGAACGGGAATAGCATCCAATATTCCCTGAGAATGGTTGCGCATTCTCAGTTCCCTCTATATTTCGAACGAAGCTCTCATCGGTCTTTTTTTTAATACTAAACGTTTTTTTCCCTGTCACTTTTAGCTAAAATTTGGGTTTGCCCAACAAGGTTGATGTTGGTGTCTCGGACATGAAACGTTCAATATCATGTAGTTTGCGATGGCGTAAGACAATGATAATAGTAACGGTGGTAATTACTGCAAGACCAATGGAAATACAAACTGCAATGATAATAATCTTTATAATATTGTTAGAAACATGTTTATCTGAGTTTTCTGGTGTATCTGTGCGACGAACAATGGAAATGCATGTTTGTGATGATTTGTTTTGGATTGACATGTCAAAGTAACTTGTGCTTGAGTTGAAATTCCAGTGGAATGAGCTGAAGATAGCATCGATATAATGAACATTGAAGATGTCCGAACAAAGAACGTCGATAGAGAAGTTGTCCCAGACGTCGTTGTAGAAAACTTGATCACGAATGTCGTTGTTGATGAAGTGTGCGGTGACATTGCATTCACTTGATTGTGTGATGTTGTGAACAAATAAGTAGCCTGTTTGATAAATAGAATAATTGAAAATAATATCACAAAAATCATTAAGACTATTCAATGATGCATGTGAATCTTGATTGATAACAATGCTTCGACATGATATGTTATGTTCATAATTATCACTACTTCCTGAGATAACAAAGTTTTCTGGAACAAATGTCACATTAGTCAATGAAAGATCTGTGTTAACAACACTTAAATTCTTGATCTTAAACGTTTTTGGTACTGATGATTCAATAATTCCTGAATAAATTGAGACACTTGAATCTTCATTGAATGTATAATCAGGAAAAATAGTAACTCTTCCGGAAGAATGAAACGAATTCACCGATATATTTGGAGAGAGTGATGTTATTCCATCTGAAAGGTGCAAATTATCAAATTTTGAAAACTCTTTTATGTGATTTATTCCATTAAGTACAATATCAACATGCGGAATATCAATTTGAGTCAATATTCCTTCCCCAATCCTTTTCATTTTAATAACATCGTTAATTTTGGTGATATTAATATAAGAATCTCGATATTCAATATAAGATTTTGCGATTATGGTGTAATTTGATTTGTAGTTAATAGACAATTCGTTGGCAGTGATATCATAAAGATTCAATTCAGAAGAGTTGTGAATGAAAACAAATTTGCCTTGAATACTGAAATTTCCAACTAACTTTGAATTGACTATGGCTATTTCAGGTGAATTGATGAATTTATTACTATTACTCAGCAAATTCACATTTGTAAACAGAATATTTGTTTTTGGATATTCACCAAGAAAAATTACATCTGATTTGGAAGACGATATTATCCGCAGCTCAACACAGTATGATGATAAATTCTCCAATACGATTGGTTCTGTATATTTACCTTTAATTTCAATTGTAAGAGGCTCATATGAAAATGATAAAGCATCATGTATCTTATGTAGTTCTTTTAACTTAATTTGGAATGCTAATGGGTATAGAGTGCTGTTAGCTTCAGTAATTACAATTGTTATATAAAATAATGAACTTTGACGCTCCAATATCAATCCTACTGTTTCATTTGATTGTTGATATATAGGTTGGTTGCTAATAAAGTTAAATCCTTTTGTTGATGTATGAATATAAGTTTCTGAAATTAAATCTTTATTTTTTGTTTTCGCTAATGGGATAAATGACGATAATTGATTCGAATTATCCTGAATTATGATAGAATCTATATGTAAATTCTCACTAACAAGAAATTGTTTTGTTTGATTTGTAGAATACCAATCGATTGTTAATTTGTTGATATTGATCTCATAAGCAATCATTTGTGTGTGCTCTTCTATATAAAATTTGTTTACTTTTAGAGAACATAAAGGAGCATTTACACAATTAGCGGAAGTTTTGTAAGAATCAATAAAACTGTTATGAACATTGCCACCAATCATTACATCAGATTCGAAAATCATGAGAAAGTTGATATATAGTTTTGAATCAGGAAATTGAGAATTAAATGTTACAGCTGTTCGTGTATCAATCTCACCATTTATATTAAGGGTCCTTCCGTTGAAATATATGTTTATTTCATTGTCTAACATTTGATAAATAGAAATTGGTAAATTTGAACAATTTGTGTTGATTGTTAAGAATCCATATGAATCAATAACAATGTTTGACGTACTGTTCATCCATGGAGTAGCAGGAATGTTGAAAATAGTGTCACCTTCACACTTGAAAAGAAACATCGAATTTAGAAGAAGAGTTGAAATAAATCGGCCAAGGAACTCGATTTGTATTGATGGTTTTAATTGAAATTTGAATGTGATATTGCGTATAATGTGAATATTTATCGAAATTGAACGACTTCGTGAAATTATTCGAATATTTTGACCTTCAAGTCTAATAACTGTGTCATTCACGATGTTATCTACTTTAAAAGTGTCGATGGCTTGTGTCAATTCAACGAAGTGAATTGTTTCATCACTAAAATTGTCAAAATCAACGGAATATGTGTTTTGAACTGTTTCTTCATTTGTCATTTCATACGTTCGAGCACTATGGAAATGAGAATAGAACCCTAATATGAATGGCAAAAGCATTTTTATGTCAATAGCTTTTCAATATTGATTGATAATTCAAAAAAAATTTTTTTTGATCATACTAGATTTACTAACGGAGTTCAATAACATTTAAAAATATTTTTGATCAAATTCGATCTGAATTGTGACATGAATTTCCTTTCAGAAGGTATTCTACTCAGAGCCTCATGACTTTTTATTAAATATCCGATTTGATTTGAATAATTCATAGAATTGAAAGGTCATTGTACAATCAATTAAATAAAAATAATTTAAAGATTAAAGTATGTTTTTATACTTTTCAAATCATTTCATTTTTAAATGTTTACAATTCCTTTGAATATTCAATTAAATACATTTGAAGGATGTCACTTTTTATTTTTCAATAAAAAAGTGATTTGACCCTTGGGGAAATGTCTTAAATTCAGATAGAACATATATTTCCATTTCTTCATTCAGGGACGTATTGAGTAAATGATCTGATTGCTTTTTTTTTTCAATGCCTTGATTAAAACTCTATTTTAGGGTCAAGTTTCTTGTTTTGATAAATGATATGCGATACCTATGATAAAAACTATATATCTATAAGATAATTATAAAGATTATTTTTCTATACGTCAAAGACATGATTTGTTTTTGTTTTCATTTCACTCTTAACATAAATCACCTTAATATCCATTGCGACATGTATTCGCCAATTCCATTTTTTTCATTCATATTTTCATTTCTTAAAATGCAATCGAAATCCTTCAAATTATCTCTCTGACATGGGAAAGTCCAAATTATGTATTTGCCCAATAGATAATAATGAAATAACAGAGCATTAAAAAAAGTAAATAAAGGATAATACATGACAAAATATTTATTAAAAACAAATATTCTATAATAAAGTTGCACTTGGTGTATCCGACATGAAACGTTCAATATCATGTAGTTTGCGATGGCGTAAGACAAGAATAATAGTAAATATGATGATAATGGAAAGACCAATGAAAAGACAAACAGAAATGATAATGATGTTCTTGATGTTTTTAGATGAATGTTTATCTGAGTTTTCTGGTGTATCTGTGCGACGGACAATGGAAATGCATGTTTGTGATGATTTGTTTTGGATTGACATGTCAAAGTAACTTGTGCTTGAGTTGAAATTCCAGTGGAATGAGCTGAAGATAGCATCGATATAATGAACATTGAAGATGTCCGAACAAAGAACGTCGATAGAGAAGTTGTCCCAGACGTCGTTGTAGAAAACTTGATCACGAATGTCGTTGTTGATGAAGTGTGCGGTGACATTGCATTCACTTGATTGTGTGATGTTGTGAACAAATAAGTAGCCTGTTTGATAAATAGAATAATTGAAAATAATATCACAAAAATCATTAAGACTATTCAATGATGCATGTGAATCTTGATTGATAACAATGCTTCGACATGATATGTTATGTTCATAATTATCACTACTTCCTGAGATAACAAAGTTTTCTGGAACAAATGTCACATTAGTCAATGAAAGATCTGTGTTAACAACACTTAAATTCTTGATCTTAAACGTTTTTGGTACTGATGATTCAATAATTCCTGAATAAATTGTGACATTCATATCTTCATCAAATGTATTACTTGAAAGTTTAAGAACTTTTCCATATGTATATAATTGTGACACTGAAACATTGTTAGAAATTGATGTGTTTCCATTTGAAATATTTAAATTTTTGAATTTCGAAAACTCTTGTATGTTATTTATTCCATTTAGTTCGATAATAGCAGTTGGAATATCAATTTGCGTGATGTTGCCTTCTCCTTTTCTTCTTAATATAATAATTTCACTAATTTTCTCAATATTCATAAAACAATTTAGAAATTCAAGATGAGATTTTGATATTATTGTGTAGTCTGATTCATAATTGACATCTAATATTTTTGCTGTGACATTATATTGATAAAATTCAGGAGCAAAAGTTAATTTTAATCTATCGCAAATAATTGTGAAATTTCCAACTAATTTTGAATGAGCAATAATTAATATTGATAAATCGATCAATTTTGTACTGTTACTCAACAAGTTTACATTCTTAATTTCAATTTGATATTTCGGATATTCTCCAAGAATAATTATATTTACTGTGTGATCTGCACTTATTTCTATACTGTCACTATATGATGATAAATTCTCAAATACAACTGGTTCTGAATATTTATCTTGAATCTCAATATCAAGGCGATTATCTGAAAATGATAAAACATCTGGCATCTTATATAGTTCTTTTAATGAAAATACACATGATCCTGTCAGATCTGGGTTTGGATTTTCTGTAATTACAACTTTTCTGTAATAATAATAGTTCTGACGTTCTAAACTCATATCTATTGTTTGCGTTGATTGATTATATGCCAATTGGTGTTTAACAAAATAATATCCCGCTGTTATTTGTTGAACTTTAATTTCCGAAATTATTTTTTCGTTTTTTGTTTTCGCCAATGGAATATATACAGATGAAAAATTATCTTTATTTTGGACTTGAAAATTGATAGTTTCTATATGCAAATTGTCACTTGAAAGGTAGGGATGAGTCACATTTAAACCATACCAATCAATTTTAAGTTCGTGGATATTAATTTCATGAGCTATAAGTTGACTGCGCTCTGATATATGGTACTTGTTGATTTTCAAAGATTTCGTAGGTGCATGAACTAAATTTGCGCCACTTTTGTAAGTTTTGATAAAAATGTTTTGTACATTACCTCCTATAGTCAGGAAAGACTTATAAAATAAAACTGTTTTGATGTAAAGTTTTGAATCTGGTAAATTACAATGAAAATTGACATCTGCTGTAGTATCGATATCGCCATTGATATTAAGGTTTCTGGAACTAAAATATATGTTGAGTTCTTTGTGTATCATTTGAAAAATAGAAATTGGTAAATTTGAACAATTTGTGTGGACTGTTAAGAATCCATATGAATCAATAACAACATTTGCCGTACTGTTCATCCATGGAGTAGCAGGAATGTTGAAAATAGTGTCTCCCTCGCAATTAAAAAGAAACAACGATTTTAGAAGGAGAGTTGACATAAATCGACCAAGGAACTCGATTTTTATTGATGGTTTGAGTTCAAATTTGAATGTAGTTATCCGTTTTATGTGAATATTTATCGAAATTGAACGACTTCGTGAAAAAATTCGAACATCTTGGCCTTCAAGTCTAATAACTGTGTCATTTACGATGTTATATACTTTAAAAGTCTCAATATCTTGTGTCAATTCAATGATGCGAATTGTTCCATCACTAAAACTATCAAGATCAACTGAATATGTGTTTTGAACTGTTTCTTCATTTGTCATTTCATGTGTTTTAGTACTATGGTTATGTGATGATAACACTAAAAGAAAAAGCAATAACATTTTTAGATTAGAATGGGTTAGCTCAAAATTGAATAGTATTTAAAATTCATATTTGATGTTTACATATGTGGATACTGTATTGGTTGATATTTCAAGATTTTGTAAAGCTTTCAAAAAAACGCCAATTGAATTTCCATATTGAAATCTGTTGGATAAGAATTCCTTCCTAAGTTATTATGGGGTTTAATCAAAACATTCTTATTGATTCATAAATTTTTGAAGACTTGGATCTCCATTATTTTCATGGGATTATAGTTTTGATTTACTCCAATGTAAATGTGTTCAGCATATACCTTTGCTTCATATTATTTAATCAACTCTTTATTAGACTCGTTGGATAACAAGATATTAGATTTTGAAGACTCTCGATAAATTGAGAGCGCTCTCAAAATTTTGGAATGAATGTGATCATTTCAGATTACGATAAAAGAATATTAACTTTTTCAAAATAAAATCCTAGATACTTCTTAAATAGTACATATTATTTTTGATCCAAAATGTATGTCGGGATGGAAATAAATCTGAAATTTCTCAGATTCATGAAATAGTAGATATTTAAGCATAAGGAAAGGATGTAAATGAAATCTCATTGAAGGTATATTAATGAAATAATAAGAAAATAGTATGTAAAACGGAATATTTATATAATTAAAACAAAAGTTCAATATATTAATAATAATTACTATAATAGGGTTATTGATGTTGTATCCGACATGAAACGTTCAATATCATGTAGTTTGCGATGACGTTTGACAAGAATAATAATAAGAGTGATGATGATAGCAACAACAATGAAAAGACAAACAGAAATGATAATGATGTTCTTGATGTTTTTAGATGAATGTTTATCTGAGTTTTCTGGTGTATCTGTGCGACGAACAATGGAAATGCATGTTTGTGATGATTTGTTTTGGATTGACATGTCAAAGTAACTTGTGCTTGAGTTGAAATTCCAGTGGAATGAGCTGAAGATAGCATCGATATAATGAACATTGAAGATGTCCGAACAAAGAACGTCGATAGAGAAGTTGTCCCAGACGTCGTTGTAGAAAACTTGATCACGAATGTCGTTGTTGATGAAGTGTGCGGTGACATTGCATTCACTTGATTGTGTGATGTTGTGAACAAATAAGTAGCCTGTTTGATAAATAGAATAATTGAAAATAATATCACAAAAATCATTAAGACTATTCAATGATGCATGTGAATCTTGATTGATAACAATGCTTCGACATGATATGTTATGTTCATAATTATCACTACTTCCTGAGATAACAAAGTTTTCTGGAACAAATGTCACATTAGTCAATGAAAGATCTGTGTTAACAACACTTAAATTCTTGATCTTAAACGTTTTTGGTACTGATGAATTGATTTGTCCTGAATAAATTGAGACACTTGAATCTTCATTGAATGTATAATCAGCAAGAGCTGTTATGTTTCCAAATAAATGAAGCCAATTCACAGAAACATTTGGAGAGATTGTTATTGGTCCTTCTGAAATATTCAAATTATTAAATTTTGAATACTCTTTTATGTGATTCTTTCCACTAAATTCAATATTAACAGGTGGAATACCAATTTGCGTGAGAGTACCATCATGAATCCTTTGCAGTTTTATAAGACTGCTTACTTTGGTTATATTAATTCTGCAATTTTGGAATTTAATGTAAGAATCTGAAACTATTGTGAAATTCGATATATAATAGATATTAGCCTCTTGTGCAGTGACATCATCAAGATACAACCATGGAGCAAAATAAATAATTAATTTTTGGCAACAAATGCTGAAATTTCCTGTTAAAGTAGAACGCATGATAAGAACTACTGATGAATTTATATTTTTTTGTGCTATCACTTAACAAATTTACATTATTAAATTCAATTCCATCTTTTGGATAATCGCCAAGAATAATGATATCTGTTTTTGATTTCGACCTTATTTGTAAACTATTATAAAACAACGATAAATTCTGAAATAGTAATGGTTCTGAATAATCATCTTCAATTTTAATATGTAAAGTATCATATGAAAATGTAAGAACATCGTACATCTTGTATAGATCTTTTGATGAAAATTGGAACGATGCTTCTAAATAAGTATATTCTGAATCAGTAATTATTACTTTTCTAAAACAATCTTTGTTTTTGTGTTGGAGAATGATACCAATTGTTTCATTTGCCTGGTCATATACAATTTCACTGGTAACGAGATGGAATTCATAACTAATGGGTTTAATTAACAAATCTGGAATCATTTTTTTCGTTTTTGCCAATGGAACATATGACCATGGTAGATTTGATTTCTCTAGGAAACTAATACTATTGATGTGTAAATTATCACTTACAAAAAATTGATTTGAATATGTCATATTAAGCCATTCAATTCTTACCTCTCTGACTCTTATTTCTGGTGCTACAATTTGGCTGCATCCAAATATATATACTTGATCCATTTCTAATGAAATTGAAGGAGCAAAAACTGAGCTTGGTCCAGTTATATAATCATCAATATAAATGTAATGTACGTTTCCTTCTATTCTGGAGAAATACTCCGAAAATTCTAATGACTTCAAATAAATTTTTGAATCTGTAAAAATGGAATGAAATGTAATATTTCCTGATAATTCAATTTTGCCATTGATCTTTAGATCTCTACTATCAAAATTAATGCGCGTCAATTTGTTGCTCCTTTGAGTGATTAAAATTGGTAAAATTGAACAATTGGTACGAATAGTTAAGTATCCATGTGAATCTATACGTATATTTGCTAAATTATCCATCCATGGTGTGGCTGGAATGGAAATATTTGTATCACCAAAGCAATGAAATGTAAATGAGGATCTTAATATGAGAGTTGAAATGAATCTTCCCAAAAATTCTATTCTAGTACATGGGCTCAAAACAAAATGAAATGTTGTATTGGATATTAGATGAAAGTTTACCGAAATCGAATTATTTGATGAGGAAACTCGAATGTTTTGACCTTCTAATCTAATAATAGTGTCATTTTTAATGTTCCTTAAACTAGCAAACTGAACACTCCTGTTGATTTCGAAGTTATTTATGGATTCTTTCGTCAAATCATTATAATCGATGGCGAGCTTATATCCCCCTTTACCCTTGCCAGAATCTTTATAAGAAAGAGTACTATTAAAAAGAGTTGATAGAGCGAGAAGGCTAGCAAGTGTCATAATGAATTCAATTTCCTGGAAATTGAATAGTGTTAAAAAATTAATTGCAAAAAGAAGAGTATTAATTGTTCCTCTTATTCTTAAAAATAGATGTAAAAAAGAATCCATACTCAATATTTGAGATGAAAATAACCACATTTTGTAATTATCTCTAATATTGTAAAAAATCAGATCGCGTGAATTCAATTTTCTGAATTCAGAATTAAAATTTCAGATCTTTACAGATCGCAGAAAAATTTTGAATAATCATGCTTTATCATTGTATAGCACATTTGTAATTATAACTTTTTTTCACAAAAATTGAAACATCCAATTGAATATCATTACTGGCAATAAAAATTATGCTAGAAAAGTCAATCTTCTAAGCGAAAAATATTTTGTGATCTGTATCAAATTTTCGCTTGAATTTCAATCTAATAAACAATAAGATATCAGGAAGAATAGTTACAGGCATTGAATTGTGATATGTTGCTACAGGAATGGTATAATAATAAGGTATCCTCAGTCCATGAAAAGGTTTTTGCTGGAATATCAGAACCAAACCATATTAAGTATTTTTGTTCATGATTCTAAATTTATCATTAACAATATATTGAGAATTTTTTTTTCTTCATTGATATCTGCCTTTAAGTTTAATAATAAGCTACACTGAATGAATGGATCATTTAGCTACAATGACTATGATTAAAATAAGTTACAAAGTAGTCGCATATCAAAGTTAGCAAAATTGAAGCCAAATAATTTACAAATAAATAAAAATACGCAATAGACATGAAAATCTATTTTATATTTTGTTGATTTGAATTAAAAATGGATGATGATTACAAAGATTCTGATATAACCAAGCAGGTGATTCATATATTTGGTAATCCAATCAACAATACTTATAACTACAGACAGCAACTAGATCCAATTATACCTGAAAATTTCGAATCTTTGGAGGCGAGAATTCCAAATTTAATTAAAAATGTCATAGAAGAATTCAGTCTAGCAAAATCGATATTTGACATCGTAACATACTTATCTACGCCAAATTTAACGTCAATAGAATTCGAAATTCCAGAATTAAAATCCAAAATTATGGAAATACTCTCATTAGAAAAATATCCAGAAGCTATGCATTATACTGTTAAACTTGTAGGTCAGTTATGGTACTTTATTTCACCTGACTCGGATAGTATCTGGATTGACCCTGAAATCGCTCGTCTCTTAATCAATTCCATCAATGTTATTGACATAAGATCTCTTCCATATGTTTACTTTTCTCTTTCTAACTATATTTGTTTAGATGAAGAGTTTATTCCGTATTTTTTCACTGTTGACGATCTGTTTTTCAATAAGTACAAAACAATAATGCGATCATATACCTCTCCTCAAATTCTTACTTCTGGACTACTTTTTCTTCAAAAATTGCTTGTTTATCAAAATGAAGATTTTTATCAAATTATGACCGATTTAATCCCAATTTTGCGTGCTCATATGAAAAATATGATACCTAGAGTGAGATTATTATCCCTTGCATGCATTCACCAGCTCATCCAGTATCCTCCCGCGAAAGAATTTTCTTATCAACAAGGAGTTCCTCAAGTTCTTCTTGAATATATTAGAGATGCTCCATATTCGTTTGTGTCATCTGCTTTTGACGTGATTTGTGACTATTTGGAGTCTCCTGTTCGAGAATTTTTTATTAATTTTGATTTTCTCTCTTCTTTGATTGATATTCTTCAAAGAACTTACGAAGGTGACTATGAAGATAAGGAAATTGGTATGATTTTTGCTATATTTACGAATCTTCAAACGCATGAACAAGTTTTGAATTTCTTTGAAGAAAAAGATATATACGGACTTGCAGTTAACTTTATTATACAAATGTCAACATTTTATAAAGTTCCGGCTGCAATTTTCTTAGCTCTTGAACTAGAAAATGGACATCTTAATTATCGTGCCAAATTGATACAAAATTATAGAGTTTTTGAAGCATTAACATTATCTTTAGACCTTATTAATGATAGTAATACTGCTTCATTAATATTTACTCAAGTTTATGTTTTATTACAAGAAAATACACAAGGTTACCTGCCAATTTGTTTTGACAACGACGTGTGTGATATTCTAAACGAGAATTCGGAGAATTATGATGAAAAAACTCAAAAAATTATTGAAGAAATCCTCAAATTTATTGATGAGCGCATGTAACATCAATAAACTAATATATGATATGTTTGTTAGTAAAAATCAGATAGAAATATAATGTTAACTTATCATTTTTCAAAAGATATGAAATTCAAAAAATATCATTTCAAAAAACATACGTAAAGCAAAGGTAAATGTATTGACAAATAGGATTTCGATTCAATTTCTTAAGTAGAATTGAAAATTTTGTAAAATTTTTGGAAATATTTTTTTTCGATGTATTAGAAAAAAGATAGATAGTAATTTTGCTAAATCAAGTTATCATATCTTTAAATTGTGCTTGGGTAGAGCATAACGCGGACTTGCTTGCCGAGCATCTGTGGTGGAAGGTTCTTCTCGAACTTAGCGCGGACAACACCAGAGTTACCGTGTGGCTGTGTGATAACACCCCAGTTGATGAACTCCTGCTTGTCGAACTTCCAGATAGAAGCAACCTTCTTGCCAGCATAGAACTGGGCCTCTTCCTTGGAAACTACACCCTGGATTTCAAGGAGAGCCTGGTTTGGCTTAATAATGCGCTTTGAGCGGCGGAAGGAAACGAAAGTAGCTGGGACGAAGAGCTTGACTTGTTCAGACATTGCAACAAAAGGAGGCCAAACCACCGTCACGTTTTCAAGTTTGAAAATTGGATCTCTTCGAAATTATCATAAACAAAATAAGAACATTATGTACATTCTGAATATCTTAATTTTCGTCGGTTTGCTTTCATAATTTAATGTGAGAGAAAATTAATCACTTCGTTTGAAAGTTTTCATACCATCATACTCATAGCCTTGCTATTTGTGACTTAGTAAATTAGGAAATTTTTTCTTAAATTTAATATTCGTCTTCTATTGATTGCATATGGAGATATAAACTTATTAATTTGTCAAAAGCTCTTTGATTTTGAACTTTATTTGGAAAAAGAATTTATTTAATAGGCAACTCGTCTGAATTAAACCGAAAATAAAAATTCGATATATGATTTTATGTCGTAATTCAGGCTAACCAACGAGAGAAAATAATTGCAACCATATGAGTTATCTAAATCTTCACTAAAATCATTGGGCAGCATTTGAGAAGAAATATCGAAATTTTCTATCGTATTTTTGAATTTAGGAGAATTTTATATGAGAAAAAAATCAATGTCAAAAGTTTCCGGGTACATTGTTTTAGGAATCCTATCCGTATGCTATGGATCAGCTTACGCATTCGTATCCAAAGCATTAAAGTACTATGAAGGCTCTGTTCTCAATTCGATGAGAATGTGGTTCGCATTCTCAGGCGCTCTTACGGTATTCCTTATTAATTACATATTTGTTGGTAGCTTCAGATCATCTTTATCACGATATAAAACGCCTGCCTTGTCTTGCATGTTCTGCGGCACATTGAATTACGGTTTACCACACTCTATGATTTCAATAGCTCAATCCACGATTCCATCAACAATTGTTATCATAGCTCAACCTTTTGTCTCGATGTTTGTACTTCTTTTCTCTGCCGTGCTACTTCCAGATGAAAAATTAACATTAACTAAGTTTTTGATCCAATGCGTAGCGATTACAGGTGCAATCATTACATCTGTTCCCAATTTCGCCAACATTGATTTCGCAAGTGGCGGATTTAGCTTTTTCCATCACGTTCTTCTTATCGGCGCTCTTTTCTCATTTGCGTTTGGCTCGATATACATCAAAAAGTACCTCACGAACTGCAATTCGATACTAATGGCAGTCTACCAGCTTTTAGGTTCTGCCATTTATGCAACTCTCTTCTCTATTTACAGAAATACGTTTGTTGGATATATCGGAAATATTTTAGCTCCTGATCTAAAAGCCTTGTTCTACCCAGTTTTGCTCGGTCTTGGATTTACTTGTTCGGCAACTTTCATGTCTACTTACACTATAAGGAAACTTGGTGTTACTATCGCCGGATTCGCAAACTACGGACAAATTATTGTCGGTATCATAGTTGGCGTATTCTTCATGGGCGAATGGAATTCGTATTCTGGTAAAGATATCGCAATTGCCTTGTTTGGTGTCGCTGTACTTGCCATTTCTATGATCTGTGGATTAGTTATCAAGGAGAAAGTAAGAACTGATGACGAAGAAAACCTTCTTAGCTCTGCCTAAGTTATATTATTGTTTTAGTTATTTTCCTTATAGGAAAGTAAACCGGATGTTTATTTAATTCATATAGTACACCACCATACTCAAGTATATCTCTAGTAAAGTCAACAATTTTTTAAAATAAAATTTTAAATAAGATAAAACTAAGATCTTTTGTGTGAAACTATCTCCACTAGCTTCAAAAACATAGGATTGATCTAGTTTGTTTTTCCAAATTTTTTTCGAAATCCAAAAAATGATAAGAAAAAATACGAAAATTATTTCAAATTTTGAAAAACAAAAAAATTTTGGAAATTTGATTAAGTTATTTCTATAATTCATATAATGCAATTAGTTATATAATAGAAGTTTTACAATTTGATTTATATGAAATCCAATTATTCTTATTTTTGAAAGAAATTCAGATTTTATTTAGCCAATTAAAGAGTTTTTAAAGAAAATCTAACATGACATATCTAATATTTTTAAATATTGATACCGATAAGCTCGGAAAATTAGAAAGATAATGAAGATAATTAGATTTATTTTATATTTGTTTTAAATTCTTCAAAATCAAACAATAAGTATGTATAATACTTAAGTAAGCAAAACAGATTATTTAAATAAAATAGATAAATAAAGTATTTATTGACTGTATTTCTGAGAATTGAGGCCAGTTAAAATGCCAGCATCTCTGTCGTAAGCGTTGTTAATACTTCTTGCGCAGTTCTGGTACATTCCGATGAGTTCGTCGCGTAAATTGTCTCTTACGTTGTTTGCGTTCTCTGGAAGTTCTCCAAACATAACGAAAACAGTTTCGAGGTAAGATCTCATGATTGTTCTGAGGGTGAAGTAAAGAGCGAAGAGTAAAAACAAACCGCGAGCGTAAGCCAAGCCATGGAATGAAAGAGCTGGGCCAATTGCTGGTAAAATGTAAGTTAATGCGATTCCTAAGTGGAATTGTTTGAAGGCGAGTTGTGCGTCGTATTTGTAGGCTTCGTCAACAAGATTTGCTCCTCTTGTTGCGCAAATTTCAGCATAGCGCTTGCAAGCTTCGTTGTATTCGATACCGTAAACTGCTGAGTATACGAGAGCTCTTCTGTTTGGATATCCGAGTGGTTTTATGATTATTCTTGCAAGTTGTCTTGAAATCTTAATAACTGTACGCGCGACTGTTTGATGAAGATCAGCAAACTGCTTTAGCGACACTGGATAATCAGCTGTCATCGGAGCTGGGTCAAATCTGGCAACTGCATGGAGTGGCTCAACAAATGGAAGGATTAGAGCAAGTTTGCATGCAACACCGAAGTTGTCGTAGAAGGCACGGCGGCAGGCATGAAGTAAATCTTGCTGCGTTGGTTGAGCTCCGGTAAGGTATAATTTAGCGGAAAGATAAGAAGTTATCATGTAGAAGCAGTTTCCGAAGACACAGACGATACTGTAGAAGGAGACAATTAAGTAGAACTGGAAGAATCCGTAACTATTCCAGTCAACTGACCAAGCAGTGTATAAAGTAAAGACTGTGATGATAGACATGATGGTAAGGGATGCGAGGATGAAGATGATGTAGAATGGTTTGAGAATTACTCCGGAATTGATGAGTTTGACCATAGATGCATCGTATTCAGCTCTGCCATGGGTAAAAACAAGAACAATGTAGCCAAGAAATACGAAGAAGAAGATAAGGAAGATCCATGGCCAGTTGAATTTGACTTTGCAGATGTAAAGAATAAAATGAATGCAAAGTGAAACAATTATGCCGTATTTTGCAGATAAAACTGGTAAGAATTGTTCACTAACGTTGTAAAGAATAATTAAGAGGACAAAAACAAAGCAAATAAAGATAGTAACAGGGATCTTGGCAAATGCTTGTTTTTTCCAAGAACAGCAGTTGATAACGAATAATATGAACAAGTTAAGGAGGAATGGGATGGCCCACCACTTCGAATTGAGCTGCTTGAGCTGTCTGGAACTATCATTAAAGTTTCTTAATGAATCAGGGGTATTCCAGAAGCCAACATACTTATCAGGGTCGTTAGACATTATCATCCATGAAAGTGGGTCATCGCCATATGTCATATCTGAATAAAGATCGTAATCAGATTTTGTAGAAGCACTTGTAAGGCCTTGCATTAAGGAGGAATCTGTATTTTTGTATTCATGATACTTGTAATCTTGGGCGTTGGCTGCTGCTGGGTCATGTTGATCAGCATTATCAGCATTTTGAACTTGGTCTACGCCATCATGCTCGTAATATGGATTATCAGCTTGAGGATATGCAGTAACTGCATCATCTACCTGCAATGGAGTTTCATAATTCGATGGTAATCCTTTTTCTTCACTCATTTACAAAAAATTTATTCAATTTTTGTTATTTTCCTCAAAAAATCATTTATTTTTCACCGAATCAAGGAATTAAAATATTCACATGCTACAAGACCAGATTATATTTACGGCAAATAGAATTGATCCAATTTCATTGAAATTCAGATTTGATTGTTCAGTTATTTCTGTAGATGAATAACGTATTAAATTTATAACATTCTACCTTGAGTTATCGGTGAAACTGTCTGACAAAATCGAAATAATTTAAATTAGGATTTCATATTCTTTAAATATCAATATAAATATGGTTAAACAATCTATCTATCGACTTACACAGTGCTGTAAACTTTCGTTCCAGATAAGATAGAGGATTAAAAGCTTAAGAATTTGAAATATTAGTTTGTTTATTGACAAAAATATTAGATAGAGGTAAAAGAAGACTTTTTTATAACAAACAAGAGTAATATTTAGATAAGATATAAACAAGAGATATGATAGCAGTTAAAAATTCATAGTTTTTGATTTTGTTGGTCTTTTAGTAATTACGCGCTGATTTTCACTTGTATCTTCTGGAGAAGTTGAAGTAGATTCAATTTTTTCTGACGGTTCTTCATAATCTGGAATATTTTTCATATAAAATTTGAATAAAATAAAACCAGATAAAATAATAAAGATGAGAAATACCAAAAATGCAACTAGTTTCCTTAATGTGTGTTTTTCTTGAAGAACCTCTTCAATAACAGGGGTATTGTAAATCGGAGTGAAATTTGCTCCCTTTAAATAGAATGTGCCACGAATAGCGAAGTTTCCTCCATTAGGACGGCTATCATAATCAAGGAATATGCAATCAGTAAAGATTAATAAGTTTTTCTTCTCAAAAGTGCAAAGATATCCATCATTCATCGAAAAGTAATAAGATGTGATAAATGTGTCCTTATTTGAACACGAGAACAGTCCACTTTCAGCAGAACAGTTGATTATATTGCCATAATGGAGAGGAACAGCTGATGAATAAACATTTATAGAATCTCTTTTAGAATTAGCTGTTGTGATATACTCTATACCTCCAAGTTCAGTAAGAGTTACGTAAAAAGCGGAAATTTTTGGTGTGAGAGATAATGAGTTATTAACAAACTTCATTTTGCCGTATTTACTAGCAACCTTTGATGTACATGACTTGCAAGGCCTATTGAGACTACAATTACTTATACTTATTGAATCAATAAATGCTTTTGATGAATTAATAAACAAACAAGAGCCAGTATCAAGGCAGTAACAACTTGTAAACGATGAAGCTTCTATTTCAAGTAGGAAGTCGATAAAATATATTGCTCCTCCATGAGGATCGTATTTTTCAATTGCGTAGCAAGAGAAGAATGTAGATCTTGATATCGAAATATTTGCTATGTTTTTGTTACAATATATTGCATGACTTTGTATTTGATAAAACTCACACTGTGAAATTTTTGCGTCAGTAAATGTTTGTGTATCTCTGAACATAGCGCCTGTGATGTATCTGGTTGAATCAAAATAGATGACAGGCTTTAAAAAATGTGAAAATTTTGAACCTTGTAGTTTCAAATTGAATTTTCCATAAAATAATGATGAAAAACTTTTAGATATCAGCATATTTTTAAATTGTATGTTCGATTTGGATACCGTGGATACCAGTGGAGCTTTCAGATTAATCATGGTTAAGCTGAGAATTGTTAAATTCTTCATAATTCAATTGATAAAAGAAATTGAGAACATCATAAAGTGTTGTATTTTATTTTTTTATTGGCCCATAAATCAAATAGGATATGATAAAATAATATGATATCCCAAAAAATCTAGGAAAAACCTTTCAACTTTATGATTTCAGATTTATCCGATAGAAATTTCTCCAAATAAAGCTAGATTTTGCACAAAACTTATACAGGAATTCATATATTTTATTCAGGATATGTATATACTCAGTTATTTAAAAAAAATAAAATAATTTTTATTTTACATAAGTATGAAAGGAGTTATTAGGGTTATTGTGGAAATGAAAGTTGATCTTGTGTTGCTAAGTGATTCACAGAAAATGTCACAGTCTGTTCGAAATGATCTTTTAGAGATGTTGTGTTCTACAAATAAAGGGATTGTTGAAGATGGACATGTGATAGAACCACACCTGTTCAGAAGAGAGCAGCCTTCAAATGCATTGGAGCCAATAGTTGTGACATGTGTGTTAGTGCCAAGGAAGATATATGAAAGTTTGGTGCAGCCATAGAATGCCATGTAGTCAATGGTGTTGATCCTGCTGCCGCTGAAGATAACACGAACAAGGTTGATGCAGTTGTAGAATGAACATGAGCCGATGCTCTCCATAGAAGATGGAAAAACAAATGTCTGGATGTTGCTGCTAGGGATGAATGTGATGATCTTAGTCTCGTTGTAGTATGTGAGTGCACCGTTGTTGAACTTGAAATCCGTGTCGGATGGATCGAGCTTGATAGACTGCAAAAGAGGACAGTCTGCAAATGTGCCGCCGTTGATCTCGCTAATGGAGCTGTGAAGAGAAAGACTGACAGTCTTGAGAGAAGAGCATGACATGAATGCATAGAAGCGAATCTTCTTCAAACTAGATGGAATAGTGAATGATGTCAAAGAAATGCATGAGCGGAATGATGAGTCTGAGATTTCGGTGAGACCTTCATTCAGTGTAAGAGATGAAAGTGAGCTGCAGTTCTTGAAGCAATCTTCGGGGATGGTCTCGCATTTGATGTTGACTTCTGCAATGTTGCTGTTGTTGAAACTGCCATAGCCGAGAACAAGACTCGTTGGAGTAGAGAGAGATGTAATACCTGAGTTCATGAAACAGAAGTTTTCAATCAAAGAAACATGTGTGTTGCTAAGACCGATGTCGCCGATTTGGATGCAGTTGAAGAATGCATTAGAGCGCAAAGTTGTGATGGATGTTGGTAATGTCAAGATTTGAAGATTCTTGCAGTTGTAAAAACACTTCTCGGGAATTTCGGTGATTGGACATGTGTTGCTGAATGAAACACTACTAAGAGATTGGCAGTTTTCGAAACAGCTAGTACCGAGTGTTGTCAAACTGTCGGGGAATGAGATGCTTTGAAGTGTAGATGATGCAAAACATGAGTCACCAACACGAGTAAGTGTGTTGCCTTGGAACTGGATAGTCTTGAGATGCTTGCTCATGAATGTACGAGAACCGATAGTCGTCGTTCCAACAGGTGCTGTGATTTCAAGATTAGAATCATCACCAAAGAACTCTGAGATTGTTGTCTTTTGATTGGTGAGAAGCATCTGATTGCCATAATAGAAGTTTGTATTTTGACTTGAATCGATATCGATATTTGTACAACCATAGAACGCAGACTCACCAATTCCGACCAGTGTTGGAGGGAATACGATACTTGTCAGAGAACTGCATCCATAGAAAGCACTTGCAGATATATTTGTCAGAGAACTGGAAAATTTCACGCTTTGTAATTTCAGACAATTATAAAAAATACTTGAAGCTAATATCACAACTTTTTCAGGAAGAACAATATCAACAAGATTTGATGCTCCGAAACACCATGAACCTATGGAAGTAACTTCACTGTGAATTATAACTCTCGTGATCTGACCATTTCTGAAGGCTTGATTTCCAATCTTAGTCACAAAGCTCGGAACAATATATTCTCCGGTGAATTGCTTCGACACATATACTAATGTGTTGTTATTGATTCCGCTAAATATAGATAATCCATCAATTTTGAAATTATTATTCTCTGGATGAATTCCTATTGTTTCTAGTGGAACATTAACAAAACATGATGCACTCATTATTGTGACATTTTTTGGGATGTAAATTGAAGTAAATTTTGAATCAGCAAAAGCATCACCTCCAAACTTCTTCAGGTTAGATGAAGGATTAATCGATATTGAGGAAACACACTTTGCAAAGACACCTCCATCTTTTGATGACCAGTCACCAATTATTTCCAAAGAATCAGGAATGGAAATCGAAGTCAAAGAAGCAGAATTAAAACAACCGCTTTTTATTTCAACGATATTTGGTGGAAGAGTTATGGTTTGAAGCTTATTACAGAGTTTAAATACAGAATTGTTGAGAACTGTCAATAAGGTGCAGTATTGCATGTCAACACTCTCTAACGAAGATTCACTGAAACAGAAACTGCAGATGTTCTGAACTTGCGATGAAGGGAAGAAGACAGAGATCGCAAATTATCTTTACATTTAAAGAAAGGACTGCCAACAAGTTCGGAACTGGTACCAATAGTGACAACTTCTTGTGGAACAACAATATCACCGTTAAAATTATCCGGAGCACGAAGGAGGACACGGCCATCAGCACTGTATTCAATACCATTTTGAACACATAATACAAATAATATCAAATACCTTTAGAAATTCATGGTTAAAAAATAATTATTGTAAACCTCTCAATTAATTCAAATCCTAAAATCTTAAACGTTCTTTTTTTTATGAAATTCTAAAGTTATTTGATATTATTTGTATTATGTGTTCAAAATGGTATTGAATACAGTGCTGATGGCCGTGTCCTCCTTCGTGCTCCGGATAATTTTAACGGTGATATTGTTGTTCCACAAGAAGTTGTCACTATTGGTACCAGTTCCGAACTTGTTGGCAGTCCTTTCTTTAAATGTAAAGATAATTTGCGATCTCTGTCTTTCTTCCCTTCATCGCAAGTTCAGAACATCTGCAGTTTCTGTTTCAGTGAATCTTCGTTAGAGAGTGTTGACATGCAATACTGCACCTTATTGACAGTTCTCAACAATTCTGTATTTAAACTCTGTAATAAGCTTCAAACCATAACTCTTCCACCAAATATCGTTGAAATAAAAAGCGGTTGTTTTAATTCTGCTTCTTTGACTTCGATTTCCATTCCTGATTCTTTGGAAATAATTGGTGACTGGTCATCAAAAGATGGAGGTGTCTTTGCAAAGTGTGTTTCCTCAATATCGATTAATCCTTCATCTAACCTGAAGAAGTTTGGAGGTGATGCTTTTGCTGATTCAAAATTTACTTCAATTTACATCCCAAAAAATGTCACAATAATGAGTGCATCATGTTTTGTTAATGTTCCACTAGAAACAATAGGAATTCATCCAGAGAATAATAATTTCAAAATTGATGGATTATCTATATTTAGCGGAATCAATAACAACACATTAGTATATGTGTCGAAGCAATTCACCGGAGAATATATTGTTCCGAGCTTTGTGACTAAGATTGGAAATCAAGCCTTCAGAAATGGTCAGATCACGAGAGTTATAATTCACAGTGAAGTTACTTCCATAGGTTCATGGTGTTTCGGAGCATCAAATCTTGTTAATATTGTTCTTCCTGAAAAAGTTGTGATATTAGCTTCAAGTATTTTTTATAATTGTCTGAAATTACAAAGCGTGAAATTTTCCAGTTCTCTGACAAATATATCTGCAAGTGCTTTCTATGGATGCAGTTCTCTGACAAGTATCGTATTCCCTCCAACACTGGTCGGAATTGGTGAGTCTGCGTTCTATGGTTGTACAAATATCGATATCGATTCAAGTCAAAATACAAACTTCTATTATGGCAATCAGATGCTTCTCACCAATCAAAAGACAACAATCTCAGAGTTCTTTGGTGATGATTCTAATCTTGAAATCACAGCACCTGTTGGAACGACGACTATCGGTTCTCGTACATTCATGAGCAAGCATCTCAAGACTATCCAGTTCCAAGGCAACACACTTACTCGTGTTGGTGACTCATGTTTTGCATCATCTACACTTCAAAGCATCTCATTCCCCGACAGTTTGACAACACTCGGTACTAGCTGTTTCGAAAACTGCCAATCTCTTAGTAGTGTTTCATTCAGCAACACATGTCCAATCACCGAAATTCCCGAGAAGTGTTTTTACAACTGCAAGAATCTTCAAATCTTGACATTACCAACATCCATCACAACTTTGCGCTCTAATGCATTCTTCAACTGCATCCAAATCGGCGACATCGGTCTTAGCAACACACATGTTTCTTTGATTGAAAACTTCTGTTTCATGAACTCAGGTATTACATCTCTCTCTACTCCAACGAGTCTTGTTCTCGGCTATGGCAGTTTCAACAACAGCAACATTGCAGAAGTCAACATCAAATGCGAGACCATCCCCGAAGATTGCTTCAAGAACTGCAGCTCACTTTCATCTCTTACACTGAATGAAGGTCTCACCGAAATCTCAGACTCATCATTCCGCTCATGCATTTCTTTGACATCATTCACTATTCCATCTAGTTTGAAGAAGATTCGCTTCTATGCATTCATGTCATGCTCTTCTCAAGACTGTCAGTCTTTCTCTTCACAGCTCCATTAGCGAGATCAACGGCGGCACATTTGCAGACTGTCCTCTTTTGCAGTCTATCAAGCTCGATCCATCCGACACGGATTTCAAGTTCAACAACGGTGCACTCACATACTACAACGAGACTAAGATCATCACATTCATCCCTAGCAGCAACATCCAGACATTTGTTTTTCCATCTTCTATGGAGAGCATCGGCTCATGTTCATTCTACAACTGCATCAACCTTGTTCGTGTTATCTTCAGCGGCAGCAGGATCAACACCATTGACTACATGGCATTCTATGGCTGCACCAAACTTTCATATATCTTCCTTGGCACTAACACACATGTCACAACTATTGGCTCCAATGCATTTGAAGGCTGCTCTCTTCTGAACAGGTGTGGTTCTATCACATGTCCATCTTCAACAATCCCTTTATTTGTAGAACACAACATCTCTAAAAGATCATTTCGAACAGACTGTGACATTTTCTGTGAATCACTTAGCAACACAAGATCCACTTTCATTTCCACAATAACCCTAATAACTCCTTTCATACTTATGTAAAATAAAAAACCAATTAATCTTACTATATTATGTCATATCAACTCTATAATTTTTTTTTTCATAATTTCGATTTGATTCAATTGCATTATCTTTAGAGACTTTAAATAACTCTAAGTTTAACTTCACAAGCAAAATTTACATTAGAATTCACAAAATTTATTTTAAAAATAACATATTCTTGAATAACAAACTAAAGATATATAAAATAGGTAAAAACACATTAATTATTGTATTAGATACTAAATATTTTTTATTAAAAACTATTTTATGCATTTTCAGCATGTGAGTAAAGCAACATCGCCTGTTTCTTCTTTGGAATATATACGAATATCCATGAAGAGAAAATGATGACGACAACGACGACGACAGGAACTGAAATTCCGACGATGATTGCGATATCAACAGATTTCTTGAAAGCTGCGATTTCTTCGCATGTTTCACCAGTCCATCCTTGTCTGCAAGCGCATTCACCATCGATGCTGATGCCGTTTACGCAGTCATTTCTCATATTCATCCACTTTTGCATCTGATTGATGATTTTGGCCTGGGCGATTGTGAGATTTGACTCAAGGGAAGCGTTGTACTTTCCGAGATCTGCGCAATGGGACTCTCCTGGAATGACAACGGCGTATCTCTGGATATTTGGTGAAGCTGTCTCAACGCCGAGGGTTGACCATGGATCAACATCACCGTTGGAGAAGTAAACTTGTGTTTGGCCTGGGTTAATGTTGCCAAATTTGTAGTTTACTTGATTTGTATCGGCTAATGAGATTCCGAAGAGGTTCTGGCAGACTGTGGTGAAGTAATCGATGTTGAGGAGTGAGGAACGAAGCTTTCCGGATGCTGTTTGGAACCAGCCAACTTCATTGCATGTCATATAGGACCATGAACGGGAATTAGCTGTAGCAGAGGTTGGATCTGTGCTTGTAGCTTGGAGAAGATCGTAATCTTCTGGCTCTTGGCCGTTGTTCTTGAGGAAATCTTTGAATGTCTGGACATAGATGTTTTCGTACTCGCTTTCTGACTGTGATTCTGTAATCTTCTTGCAGTATTGATCAAGAACACCATAGCGAGAGTTGTATTGAACCATTGCGGATAAAACATCAGCAATGATGTAAAGAGCGGAAATATCGTTTGTTTCATGCTTGATACCGTATTTATCCTTGAAAGCAGCGATCTTGGATGCATCGCCAGACTTAACAGCCTCATGGGAAATGTCAAAGACTTTTCTTGTTCTTTCAAGGCATCCGTCAGCAGAAAGATTGACTCTTTTTGCGACGTATTCATCGTATTCTGGGAAGTCATTCTTGACATTAACGGGAGCTGATGAAGCCCATGATGCAACGGCAAGATGTGGATATTTAAGGCGGAACCATGAAGAAAGGGCGCCTGGATAGGAGCCACCAACGACGGCAACTGTAACACCATCCTGGTCGGCCAGATGGTGAGTGTAGATGTACCTTTCAATGAATTCGGCAAGATCGGCAAGGGCTTGCGGGATTGTGAGGTATTTATAATTTTCCTTTGTGAGCTGATCGAATGGCATGGATTTACCGAAGAAGCGGTGTTCTAAGGCGAAGACGGCCGCATTCTCACGTGCAGCTAATTCTAAGTATGAACCGGCTTGAACATATCTTGGAGAGAGTGTTGATTCACCACCAATGTAAAGAAGAGCTTTCTTGAATGTTTTATTGACAAAAGTGAGGTTTTCGAGGAATCTTTCCATATAATATGAAGAATCATGAGTATCAAAGTGATCTATGCGATTCTGAAAAATCTTGTATTCATCATCGTTACCAGGTGGCTCTAGAATTCTCATCCAGTAGGCCAAAGAGAACAATGCAAACATTAAAATGATTTGAGAACGGACTAATCGTTTTTCGCGATAAAATTTCGAAATTTCATATGTATATATAGTTTAAATAGATTGGTATTTTCGAGTTATCGGTTTTCATAGAATTTTCAATTCAATTCTTTTTGAACCGACAACATAGCGTAACAGGTGTTGGATTTCACTATCCCAAATCACCATGCCCATTGTTGAATTTTTATTGATGATTGACCAAAAACACGATGAAACACGATGATTCTAAATTTCAATAGTTTACATTTCCTCACTTTAGTTTCGTCAGCTATATAAAACATTCGCCAGTCATTTCTTCGGGAGCTTTAATTATAATTCATTCAGTCCAAAGGTGAATTGTTCATGTTCATGGACAAAGAAATAGTAATATTAATTTAAGGTTCGATCTTATATACAAAAGATTAAATTAACTAATCACCTTTGTATTACATCCTTAGTGAGTTGTCAAACTACATTAATGAAACTCCCAATAATTCTAATCATGTTTTCATTATCTATCATGACAAGTACATGAATGGATGTTTAAGAATCCATGCTTTCAAACAAATGTTAGCTTACACTACTTTGAACAAATTCCAAAATATTTATTATTGAATAAAATTATTTGAGCGAAATTTTACCATAATATATGCTTATGTATTACAACAGTAATGACCATGCAGATATTTTCCTCTGAGCACTATTTAATCTGAATTTTAATATCCAATATCACCATTCTTTTATATATTTGCAAATTTCAATATGACATTATACTTCTTATTCCAAAAAATATCATTTGTAATTGATATACTTAGATTTACTCTTTTATAATTTTGCTCAGAGAAATTTCGAAAATATTCAATATTCTTTTCAGAACCTATTTAGCTTATTGAGTAGAATACTCAATATCAGCATTAAATGGCTCCGAAATGCAAGTCTTTTTTGTTGCTGTTGAAAATTCTTTCCAGTAGAAGAATTTTAATTTGTTTTTCTAGCAATGCTTATGATGTATATTATATTCTTAAGCTCAAAATACCGAAAATTCAATAGTAATTTATCAGCCTTTCTTCTCAAAAATTCGCTTTTCTTTGTTATTAATTGTAAAGTACAGAAAATATTAATTCCAATATGCATTATATTATATTACTAATGCTTTTAAACATTAGAAGCAAATTGAAAACTTCAGAAAATTAGGAGGTGTGTTCCCCGATTCTATATGAGATATATAGAGATTCATTCCGGAACAGAATCGGAAATTTTTATCGTCGTGTCACTTTGGGTCGAATTCAATATCCTATTCAATAATTTAAAATACATTCAATTCTTCAAGTTTACAATCAACAAATGCAGGTAGACTCTCCTGAACGGGTCACTGCCAAGCTCTACGATTTGCTCCCTCCCGTTGATCAAAAAATCTACGATGCAATCAAGAAGGATGCCAAAGACGAAGGATGCTTTATTCTCAAAACTACGTTCCAAAATTTATATCAGCGCGTTAAATCGTTTTGCACGCAAAGCGATGGTCAAAATAAAATCAGGTGCTATGTTTGTGGGCTTTGCTGGTTCCCCAACGGCCTTGCGATTAATTTTAGACAATTTAAATGCCTCGTCCCAATTCTCAAATCCACAACAAATTCCATGCTTCAGAAGCTTGGATTTAACTCAACTAAATGCTTACCGAAACATACAAACTATCTCATGGAATACCTCCCAGAGCTAATTAGCGATCCTCGAGAACGAAAATCTTGGACTATATACGAATTCGTAGCTGCAACCCCGATGATATCTACCGAGACCATTGTGTTGCAAGCTGCACTTTCCCCGGAGCCAATGGCCGATCCTCCTGTAACACAGGAATCCGATTTCCAAAAGGCCCCTGCCCCTCAGGATATTGATTCTTTCTTCGACGATCCATTCTCTCTACCGCCTATCTTCCTTGTAGAAGACGCCCAAAACGGGCCGCTTGAGACTTCATATGGAGGATTCTAAGTCTATTGTTTTGTATATTTAATAAAATTTCTAATAATAGAGATTTGTCGTTACTGGAAATTACATAATAACCAAAATCATAGTGATCCAACTTATATCGGATATCAAACATGGCTCTGCCAAAAACTCTCTTCGTACACATTAAGTGAATAGTTATGATAAATGTATTCTATTATTACTAAAAGATTTTTATTTTAATCCTAAAAAAAGAAAGTTCCCGTTATAAATTTGATCTGATTTCCGGTTTCGAATATTAGCGATGCTAACCTTGTATCACCAAGACCTAAGTCTGTAGGTAAAGAACATTTTCCGTACGATACTAGTACTTTTTTTCAAATTTTGTAATAAAATGAGAGATTTTCTATTTTAAATTCTTATGATTTAGATATCAATCTCTTTCTCTTCTGATGTAAAACCCATCCTGATAAACAGGTATTTGAATTGCTGTACTCAAATATTCTACGCTCCATCAATTTGATGATTGGAGTCATATTCTTCAAAGTAACTTGGTATTAGAGTTGAAATAAAATTCATTTTTGATGCATATTCTGGAGTAGAGATATCACAATTTTTCATCAATAATTGGTAATCAGAGATCAACTGTTTTTTATGATTTATACATGTTTTTTCAAGTTTTATATTACTTGCATGCTCTATTTGTCCTTTCTCGATTGAACTAAAATCTTGTGAAGAAGAAGAATTTCTTCGCATAAACGAAAAGTGACAAAAATACATTATTCCAAACACATATTCATGGCTTTGATGAATAGATCCATCTGGTGCTTTTATATTTGTATGTTTTGATGAATTGTAGTATTAGATCATAAACATATATCTAATTTTAAGATTTCCAAGCAGGCACAAGAAAGGGAAGATCAAATAGATGCCTAATATCCCATTCATTTCTTAAAATAGTAAATGCAAATTTAATACCCATAATGCGTTTGTAAGCAGATATATTTTTATGCATTTAATCCATTTGACATAAACAAAATAATTTTTGATTTGTCTTCGCCTTATTGCAATGATTTTTTTGGTATTAATTTTTATTTATGATCGTTGGTGGGGTTATATTTAAAAATATTATTTAACTACAGAATTGATTAGTATCTTCAATAAAAAAATATTGTTAGTGGCATTTTTGGTAACGAGAAAACGCAATAAGAAGTTAGTTACAATTGTGTTAATATACGTATTGTAATCAGGAGAGAGGGTCAAAGTTGCTATTTGTCACTTTTCCACAAGAATATAATGGGGAAAAAGTTATCATATAGTTGATCTCATTCACTGAGGTGAGAGATGCATGTAGTGTAATATGTAATGGGATAAACAGTGGGATTGCTGCTCTAAGTCCTAGGTTCGAGACACATTGGCTTCATTTTTCTCTTTTTTATTGACGTAAACTATTCAATTTTTGTGTTCTCCATTCAAATTTCAGAATTTTTTTTGCAGATTTCACGCTACATTCGAAGTTACCTTTTGTAACAACCACCACTGCCTACGAAAGACGAAAGTGTGTCACGATTTCACCCGGAAATCCGACGGTTGTTTAAGAGTAAGCACTTTTGGCACCTACTCTTGTAATCAGTATCATCTTATATGAATTTTACTTTGCTACAAATTTAAATTCCAAAAAATGATCATTGATTTTTCATTCATGATTTATTGTGCATCTAAAATTCTTTTGCCATAAACTATAACACACAAATATCAATCGACTCGTAATTTTGGAAATTTTGAGAATTAATCAAGTTAATTTTAACTAGCAACTGCATATAGATAAAACTAGAATGATTTTAAATTAAACAATTTTGAATGATTGAAAAATTTCACAACTTAGTTTACTTCACTAGCTTAATTACACCAAAATAATGACATATTTCAGATTATATCAATTTTGTTTTATAAATTGAGAACATTTCAATACGGTTTAATTCAATTCATCTTACTTCATGTCACGTTTTAATTGAATTAATATGTTATTCTTTCTTTTCAGACAAATTCTATCGAGGAATTCTCTAGATATCATTGAAAAGAAATGCGCGGTAAATTCAAGCACTGCCAGTCTAACAATACAAGATTTTGATGGGTCATTATTGATTTTGTAATTTAATCGTCGTCGTTATCGATTTTGTAATTTAATCGTTATCGTCTTTTTCTAAACGTGCATTTTTTGCTTTCGGAGCTATTGAACATACATTGGCCCTTACCAGCAATTGAAAACTATTTTTCATTATCAACAATTACAGTACTCCGAGTTATTCATCAATCAATGAAAATCGATATATAGTCCATACTTCAATTTACAATATTGGCAAGTCCAATTTCACTTGGCATATTTAACTCATATAGAAAAACCAGTTGGAATCGGCAAAATTATCTTTAATTCCATACATAAGAAAAAAAAATTATAAAGTTCTTCAATAATAGCAAACTAATAGTTTAAATAGATTTACAAGTATCGCCCATCTACTTTTGATATAATTCACATATTAAATGTAGAAAACTGGTTTAAAATAAATATTTCAAAAGTTCGAAAACGATTTATGAAAAAATAACGTGATGACATTTACTAAATTTGCTCTGTATTAAAGTATCGATGATAGAAAGAGCATATTTTGTAAATATTTCAAAAATATTTAAAAGTCGGAGAAATTGTATTGTAATGTACTATAATTATGTTACAAATCCGATTCAATACTAATCCTTCGCTATTAAAGTTGTTTTGAGAAGGATATTCTCTAAATTCTTGATAAATCTTTAAAATCTAGAGTAATCGTTTTGTAAACTTAACAAAACTAAAATGTATACCAATAGATTGGCATTTTTCTACGTTTTCAAAGTGAGAGAGTGTAAATTCTTTTTTTTATCCTATTAAGGTTTTTAAAAAATTTAATTAACTTAATTTATATGATCTGAAAATATATGACAAGTTAATATGGAGAATTCTTTCAACCCAATTTCAATTTATTGAATTTTCTATTCGAATTCAAAAATTTTCCCAAGAAGAAAAAATAATTAGGAAATTTAATATGTTAATACATAAAATATTTTATTTATTCAAAGAATTCAATTTTCTATTGGATCAAAAAACTTGTGTTAAAGTTCGTATTTTAAGATAACTATACTTTTAGAAGCTGTTTTTATTTTTTTTCACCGGGATTTTATTAATTTAATTCTTTCAAAATTTGAATCTTATTGTATATCACCGGACTATGATCATAATAGAGTTGCAATCTCTAATTATAGCCACATTAGTACTCGTGGGTCGATATATCATGGGAGATACAAAATTATTTGAATTTTCTTTTATTTTTTTAAAAAATATTAAAAAAAGTAAATAAATAACTAACAACACAGCATCACTTTTCGTAAAATGCTTTAATCCTAGTCCTTTTTCCCCTTAATTTTTCAATCTCTCCCAGGTTGAAATTTATTCCGGGAATTTTTAAAGATGCTTGGTCAACATAAAATTTCATTAAATTTTCCACAGGAGTCATAAACTCTGAACATTTGAAGCGAGCATGAACTGCATCATTCAAATTTTTAAGAAGAATTTTGTTCGAAAAGTGGTTCAATACGGCGATTACATGAATACAAGGTAATCCGTATAATTCGATGTGCTTACATGTGCATGAATATTGTGAATCTGACATAATTTTTACGCAATATGTATAGCGACCAAAAGTTGCATAATATAATTCTTGAATTGGATCATATAATACCGAGCTAAACATATCTGAATGTTTCAAAGTTTCATTTAGATTTTTGATAATATTATCTGATTTAAAATCACATGTTAAAACTATCATAAGACAAATTACGGAAAGTGAACTCAAACAAAAAGTGACACAATGCATTTGCCAACCAAATAACTTTACAAAGCAAAAACTTAAATTACTTGTCAAGCTTACTATTCTTATTTTAACAATTAAAAAATTAAATTTTATTTTTTATTTAAAAAAATCATCTTATATCATCTGATATATATATATAACAGCATTAATATTTCAATGATTCACAAATCAACTTTTTCATTATTTTAAATAATTATAGAATATATACCGACTTTTTGTACATAAATATTTTTAGATTCAATAATGATTTACGGTTTTTTTTCAAAACTTATAATTTTCCAATGAGTGGTAGAATCTTCGATTTAATTGATTTAGAATGGTTAAATCAAGCTAATCAACAAATTCAAAGCGGTATTAACGTCGAAACCGTTCTCCAAAATGTCCCTTTAACAGATGGAAGAATTCTTCAGACAAAGTTTTTGAACTTTGTATAAGTTCTCCAAAATGTTAAACTATTCAAAGCGGTATTAACGTCGAAACCGTTCTCCAAAATGTTAAACTATTCAGACAAAGTTTCCCGCTGTTTGCGAAGGAATTGTTGGCTATGATGTACTGATTCATGATCAGTGCATCATAGCCAACAATTCCTTATACAAAGTTCAAAAACTTTGGGTGCAATCAGAACTGATTGCACCCAAGTTTTTGAACTTTCTCAGGGAATGAAAGGGTAAGAGGTATACATTATGAATATATACTCTTACCCTTCCATTCCCTCTCTGACAGCGGGAAACTTTGTCTGAATGTTAAACTATTCAGACAAAGTTTCCCGCTGTTTGCGAAGGAATTGTTGGCTATGATGTACTGATTCATGATCAGTGCATCATAGCCAACAATTCCTTATACAAAGTTCAAAAACTTGGGTGCAATCAGAACTGATTGCACCCAAGTTTTTGAACTTTCTCGAGGGAATGAAAGGGTAAGAGGTATACATTATGAATATATACCTCTTACCCTTCCATTCCCTCTCTGACAGCGGGAAACTTTGTCTGAATGTTAAACTATTCAGACAAAGTTTCCCGCTGTTTGCGAAGGAATTGTTGGCTATGATGTACTGATTCATGATCAGTGCATCATAGCCAACAATTCCTTATACAAAGTTCAAAAACTTGGGTGCAATCAGAACTGATTGCACCCAAGTTTTTG